ATAGCTATTCCGTTCTAGTTTGGGACTCTTAAGCGGTACGCACCCAGAACTTTACCGGGACCCGATCCAATATTATATGAATTCCAACTTCTGCCAGTTGTTGGTATATAGTGCAACCGCCAGTCATAGTTGAGCAACTATCATCTTGCTTTACTTACTGAGCCTCTCTGTTGACTATTTCTGGTTGCACTGTGGACATATAAGTACATGATTTTTAATTTTCTTTAGAGGAGACATAATTTAGGTGAATTAAAACTATAAAACCTCAATCAGACAGGCTTTCTGATGACTTTAAACTGACCAATTAGAATTTTAAAAAGCAGTGAAACCATGTAAACGTCAACATATTTGTGAAAACCATATTCCAAATAGTGTAAGATTGCTAAAAAGGTTCCTTTTTCGCCAATTAATAAGGAGTATAATTTCGTTTCTTATCAGACAGATACTGGTGTGGTGGTGTCTTACAGACAATGTGTGCAAACAGAATATTATTCTCACATGTTCCAACAGTTCAATTCGACATTAACACCAGAATACAATATACCTATTTGAACTTTCTATTTGATGTTAGAGTCGGAATGTTATTCCCACAGTTCAATAGTGCATTGGCAACAGAATACTATGCATATTTGAACATTCTATTTCATGTCGTTAAATGTAAATCGAAATCACACGCTCAGTGATCGGTTAAATAATATAAACTGTAGATATATAAACAGGGCTTCCGTGTCTTGTCTTCTGTTGTTACACTGGTATTCACTCGAATAACTATGTTTTAATATCAGAAGCTGGAGTTACGCTTAGATTAGGGTCAGAGTTATGCTAGAATAAGGTGAACGTAGATTTAGGATTAAGAATAATTAGTTAGCGCCTAATTTAAGACTATTTACGGGAGAAATCTCTCCTTTAAATCCTGAACAGTATCAGCGGGAAGTGGTTCATCCTAGGTTGACATAGAGTAGATCGCGAGAGTTGGAGAAGATGAGAGATTATAGGCAATCGTGGACCACGCAGCTGAGCTGAAGATGACGGCAGAAAATAGAACGAAGTGGAGATGTGTTTGTGAAGGCCCATGTTCCACTGGGAACTCAAGAGAATTTATTATTATTATTATTGTTCCCTTAGGTTCCTAGTGGAACATAGGGCTTCAACTACACGTCTCCACTTGCTTCTGTCTTCTGATGTACTTTTCACCTTCATCCAGGTTAGTCCATACTGTTTCAGTTCTTCTTCACACGATCTCCTCCATGTTACCCTAGCACTGACGTCCCACTCGCCGCTTCCCTCTCGGGTTCCACTCGAGATATGGCCTGACGCGCGATGTCACCCAGCGGCCTCCTCAGCAAGTGTCCAATCTATCTCCACTTTCTCCTGCATATTTGTTGAGCGATTGGTTCTTGTTTCATTTGTTCCCATAGTTTCTTGTTGGTGATTCTTTCCGGCCATCTGATCTTGAGTATAGAGCTGAGACAGTTGTTGATAAAGGTCTGCAACAGACTGTTGGAAATATTCTTTGTAACCCGCCGTCAAGTTTCTGATCCATACGTATAGAAGAACTGACTGACTTGACGTTTGTATTGAAAATCCGAATCATTTTGTTGTTGATGCTGAGTTGAGTGACGAAGATTTCCAGATTGGTTTCAGGTTGTTGAATGTGTTTCTCGCCTTCCCGATTCTCGATTTGATATCTTCGTCCGTTCCTCCTGTAGTTGAGACAATGCTCTCTAGATAAGTGAAAGAAGTAACCTACTCAAGAGAATAAAAATACAATAATAATAGTCATTATTAATAATACTGAACTTTACTTTTCTCCTTTTTTCTCACACAGTTTCAAAGTCATTCGTATTTGATAGCGTTTGAGGTGGAATAGTTTAACTTTACGTAATATTGATTTATAAAAGCGAAATTTATTATTATTATTATTGCTATTATAATTTGGTTATAATTTTAAAGAAATACACATACGACTTTGTAGGTTGTCAAATGTAGGTATATATAGAGTAGAAATAAATTAAAACGGGAAAGAAGTAGTGCATAAGGTCTATTTTATTAAAAAATAATGTCCTGAAGTTATGTCATCATTTGTAAAATGTGTATCAAGGGTAATAGTTGTGTGATATCAAGTACAAAAATGATTCGCTAATTTATATTGCCTGATATGTGTATGCTTCACTTCACTACTTCACTTATATGACACATATATTGTCTAATGCGTGGTAATATTAATTGTTCTGGAATCTTCCATAAAATACAAAACAGTGAATGCAATTAGTTATAGTGGGAGAATTGAATTAGTTAAATAATGAACAATGAGGATTTATTGGTTACAGGATTTCATCATGAGCTAACATTGGTTAGAGAACCATTGGAAAACCTGGGAGTACTTGTCTTACGAGCTCACCTTCTAACTAGAAGGTCCTGGGTTCAATTCGCGGTGGGTGTGTGCTGTGAAGAGTCCCAAACTGAGACGAAACAGCTGTCTGGTAGTACTCCCAGGTTTTCCAATGGTTCTCTAACTGATGTCAGCTCATGATGAAATCTTGAAACCAATCAGTGAAATCCCTACAAACCAATACTTGAATAATGATGATATAATAGATCTGAGAGATTACAATGAGTGAAAATATATCTACAACAACAACACTTTTATGTCATTTTTTTCCAGCGTCTTGATAACTTCAACTAGCCAATCTACGTCTTTCATATCAACCATTGAAAACTTCATGGAATGATGCCATGTTTTTTTCTGACCATTCTCAGTTTATATCACCTAGTATTGGTCAAAGTGAAAGCAGATAGTTTGTCATGAGTAACACATTTCCTAGGTGTCTCTATCTCTTCAGGGTGACTTACAAATTCTCTCTGTTTATCTAAATCTTTGACCCTAATAATCATAATAAACCGCTGAAGACATGATACAGAATACAAACACTTTTGAACAAAGGCGACTAGCCTCTTCATCTTTTCCCCTTTCAACTGTCTATTCTTCACAGCCCTAAGGTAGGATGGAGTGAACTGTTGCTCAGTACGCCCTTTCTTCAATCGATAGCCAGGTTTTGTGTCTACGTCAAAGATGATGCCTGTTGTATGCATTCACTTTCAATTTTGAAACTGTAAGCATTTCAATTTACTAGACATGAAATGGAATTATCAACTGGATCTTTTTATGGATTCGATTGATTTCGAGTAATATTTCATCATGAACTGACGTAAAATTCAGGGAGTAATGAAATGCTGATTAGTCCTAGGTTAGGACTCTTCAACTGTACTCATCCACGATACCAACGCTGATAGAAACCAGGACTTTTAGATTACTGGGTCAGGTCAGGTCAGGTCATAGAACATTTACCTAATGGGGTGGAATTGTCTCACCCCTGAACTCTAATCTATCGCCACCGGCAGCCACTGTTTTCGGTGACCATGTGTACTGACACCCAATTTGCTGAGGCTGTAAGTGAGCATCGATGAAGAGTCCGGAACTGGGATAAAACAATTGTCCAGTACTCCTTGGTTTTCAGCTCTTGTCTTACTCGTGTGATTTCATAATTTAACTTGAAACCCTTTCATAGCCATAGTCTAATGAAATCTCATGTAGGGTGATTTACACAGACCTCATCACAATTAAACATCTTAAAGATATTAGAAATTTCATTGGTATTAACAAAGCTAAACAAAATAAAGTTCTCAAGTGTACACTAATTGTTTTATCAATTCGTCTTCAATGCTAGAACTGGTTACTCTGTTTTTCCAGTCACGAAAATGGACAAAAATGGAGGCTTATTACAGTTGCCCAATTGTATAGAATTATTAAAACTGGTTGGAACAAACAGAACAAGAACCAATCGCCCAACAAAAATGCAGGAGAAAGTGGAGATGAATTGGACACTCGCTGAGGAGGCCGCTTGGTGACATCGCGCGTCAGGCCAGTGCTCGACTGGAACCCGAAAGGGAAGCGGCGAGTGGGACGTCGGTGCAAGGTTGACATGGAGGAGATCGTGTGAAGAGGAGCTGAAACAGTATGGACTAACATGGATGCAAGTGAAAAGTACAGCAGAAGACAGAAGCAAGTGGAGACGTGCAGTTGAAGCTCTTTGTTCCACTAGGAACCCAATGGAACAATAATAATAATAACAATTAAAACTGGTTTTTTTCAAGACGTTTTACATTCGGTGTGAATTGTAGTTTATAGGATAACTGAGATGTACTGTTTGCATAGTCGCCATCATCATATTTAATCATATGTAATCCCCTTGATATATTATCCTTAAAGATTATCTCGCTTATTCTTGGTATAAATAAGAGTGAAATTGAAACTATCAACACTCCCAGATTAGATCATCTCGTCCAAATGCACCAAAAAAAAGTGGCATTGAAGAATCCTTTTCTTTTATCCATCGAATATATGAAAATTACTAAAAACCTCTACACACCAAACATTCCAAATAGTAGGGGCTGTTGTAATTCGCTTAAAACAACCGTAACTCTGTGTGCACGAGAAACAGAACCAGCCTCTGTTGTTACGCTTGCCTGCTATGGAGCCCTTAAATTCAAAAATTCTCTATTGTGCTTCTTCTTCGCTTATCTGATATTTAGCTTAATGTTATGTAGATTCATATTATCACGTGCAGACGCTTTTCAAAATGTTATCTATTGATGATGATGGGTTCGAATCCCGGTGGGTGCGTACTGATGAAGAGTCCTAAACTAGGCTGACGAAACAGCTGTCCAGTACTCCCAGGTTTTCCAATGGTTCTCCAACTAATGTCAGCTCATGATGAAAATCCTGTAACCAATCAAATCCCTACAAACCAACACTTGAATATTGATGATATGGTTGATCCAGTGTTATACAAAACAATAATATTGTAAATATCAATATATAACTGTAGCACCTTGATGAAAAAGTCACTGGAAAGAATATTTTTCTATTTTTGATCACATAATTTTATCCCAATCATCTGTGTCCTTTAATTTTCTATTTTCCATATCTTCATTTATAGAGATATGTAAAAGAACAGAAGTCATCCGATCAGGTACCACGCATGGTGTCGGTGACGGCGTTCAAGATGGAACAACAGATTCATTATGTCGTGTTAATAATAATTTCAAGATACTACATACTTCTACATATAATTCAATTGGTCAACCACAACGTACTAAAACTCCAGTATCATCGTCATGTTGTAGTAATAATGAACAAAAGCCTGAACAAAAAAACAGTTCATCATCATTATTATTGTCATCGTCATTATCATCATCGTTTATGAAAGATAGAAGAGCAATATCTAAAGCAGCAGATGAAAAACGTTGTGCTATAAAACAAGCTCATCTGTTAGCTTCTGAAGAAGCAGTCATTCTAGCTAGACATAAAGCATCTGAGCGTAGAGAGGCTAAATTAATGGAAATACGTCAACGTTTAAAAGTTAGACATGAACAAGTTGAAGCAAGAAGGAGAGCTATTGAAATGGCTGAACAGGTGAGATAAGCATTATGAACATTTCAATTCTATCAGGAGTTTTCTAACTCTCTAATTATGTTAAATAATTACATCATAAAAAAATTACCGCAGACACCAGTTCTATAGAATTATTTCACAAAATGCATGCTGATCACAAAGGTTTGCTCAGACATTCAAAGGATCATAATTTCTCCATATCCATGTCGTATAGCGTCGTTGACACAGCGGTAGAATGCTCGCCAACCTCGGATTTGATTTAGGTTTCATCCGCGCCCAATGCACTCATTTACCTCGCTAAGTCAGTAATAAGACTGATAAAGAGGGAAGGCTGGGTGAGCATGAGGCTAGCAAACCAATCCAGTAAAAATAAACACCACTGATACCGAGACTTCAAAGCTCTAGCTTGAAGCCCTATGTTCCACTGAGAGCATAAAGGAATAAAAAAATATCGTATGGACTAACCTTATTATCATATTAATATATGTGTAAAACTTGGGCACTGTGGTAGTATGTAATTCCATATTAGTCTGTTTATTAGATTAGACATATTACATAGTCAGTCAGTGAAACAGTATCATTTACTGCATGACAAAGTTTTGAACAAAATTTATCTTTCATAATCATATCAATTATAATCACACGACTTCGAAACTTGAGTTTTATAGTTTTCTTTGTTCTCTCCTATTTGTCGTCGTTGGGGTAGTAGAATTTTCCAGATGTCTGGGTGGACAGGTGTTGAATCATTCCTATTACACGTATTTGCAGTTGATTCGATAAACAAAGCTTCTGTTATCAATCTCTCCCTCCACCCTGTTAGTTGCATTAGATTTTAAAACTGTCATCTTATCCCATCCAGCTATTGTATGGTTGTGTGTAATTGCATGTAGTGAGTGCTATAGCTGAACTATTCTCTAGATTTCTTATCTTATTCGGGTCAACCAATCTAGATTTCTGCTAGGCTTTTGTGCTCCGCTAGTCTGACTGCCCCTGTTCTACTACTTTGACCTATGTATTTTACCTGACAATCATTGTAGGCAGGGAATTAGATAAACTAAATTGTTTTGTTTTAAAGGCTCCACTGGCAGGATCCTTTAGCCGACAAAGCTTGTTTCTAATTGAGTTTGTGGGTTTGAATGCCATTTTTATTCCTGCCTTGTTAAGAGTTCTGAGTAAGGTTTCCGAGGTTCCTTCCTTTTGGTGTTATTATCTTTGAGATCAGCTCAAGAAATGTCAATAGGAAACAGCCGCTTACTTTATCCTTTAAGTTGATCGGATTTAGAAAAGGAGGAACAAATTTCTATGGAACTTAACATGACTATCTGACTTTCAGTTAACGAATCTCGTGTATACCTTCAGTATTTCATTGACGCCTTTATAATCCTTTAAGAGCTTTCTGTCAGAATAGTCAAATGTAGTTGTTATGAAGTACTTAGACTCGAGAATTTCTCATGAAGAAGAACTGTCTGGTTGAGTACAGCTGAAAGCTTTATAGTATGACTAGTAAGTTACAGTTTTTCATCCCTTTGCACTGCAAGTGGAACATAGGACTTCAAGGTTTGAAGTTCCATGAGCCAGCTCCTAATCTAGCCGTACTACCACCTAGGAAACTAGGCGAAGTTTAGTAGTGCATCTGTCAGGAGTTTGACTGTAGACTACTTGTATGGTTGGCAAGTATTTTCCCATCAAACCACTAACACACGAAAACTAAGGAGTACTAGACAGCTGGTGTCTTGTCCTAGTTTGATACTCTTCAGTAGCATGTATCCGTGATCCCACAGGGGATCTTGCCAAGAGCCTTCAGGTGACGAGGTGAGCTCATTGACCATTTAGCTACTTGGAATGGATTAAATTTGTTGTTTACTAATGAATAACAGACAACTGTCTGGTTTATTTCGTTTTATGTACTTACTGATTCTTTCAATGTCAGTATGATATATTAAGTAAATGAAAAATCCCTATATTGAAATCAAAACAAGATTTTGAGCGAACGATTGTTTTCGATAACTTCTTCTTCTTCTTCTTCTTCAGGCTCTACAGTTATAAATCCATGAATTATAGAGTACATATAGCCAATAAAGGCAAATGAAAGTAATATCAGAAACTGTACTCGGGTGCATGTGTAAGTTGAGATGATAGTCCATTAGTTAACATAGTCAATCAAATGTGTATAGGGTGTATAGTCAGAAAAAATGTGATGAAGTGTAAATGAACAATTGGGTGATATAGTGCTGTTTTGTAGTCAACAGAATACAAGTGTCGTTGAGGTGAGAGAAATGCGATAGCCACAAAACACACACAAACACACATTAACAAAGGGGACACTGAATGTGAGGACTGACCGATAATGTAGGCTTCAGCCTACCAACTCTGTAACACCTTATTGCAATTTACAATTTAGCCTCTTTATTTTATCATTAGACATTATCGGTCAGTTCTCACATTCAGTGTCCCCTTCGTTAATGTGTGTTTGAATGTATTTTGTAGTTATCGCATTCCTCTCACCTCAATGACACTTGTATTCTGTTGACTACAAAACAGCACTATATCACCCAATTGTTCATTTACACTTCATCACATTTTTTCTGACTATACACCCTATACACATTTGATTGACTATGTTAACTAATGGACTATCATCTCAACTTACACATGCACCCGAATACAGTTTCTGATATTATTTTCATTTACCTTTATTGGCTATATGTACTCTATTATTCATGGATTTATAACTGTAGAGCCTGAAGAAGAAGAAGAAGGTTATCGAAAACAATTGTTCGCTCAAAATCTTGTTTTGATATATTAAGTGTGTATCAATTTCTTACCTTTAGTCTACAGTTTCGTTGAGATGTCGAACAAAATGTTCTATTCAGCTTGCCGATCAAGCTGACTAGCAGACCTACTTAAAAACAAAAAACTTCATTTAATTGTTCTTTGATACCTTCAAAGTGGTACAGAGATACCATCAAGCGTAGTAAGCAGTCATATTCGGTAAAACACTCCTAGAATCTTTGACTTAACTTTTAATTCACAAGTCAGTCGGGGAACTATGTAGGATACATTCCGATGTTTGGTGACAACGGAAATAAGTTTATACTCTATTGATTCTCTTTGGAAATTAGAGTTTATGTGCACTAACAAGCTGCATATGCAGCAGTGTATCTGATTCCTAATAAGGTAGGTTAAGAGATATCATATAAACTTAAAAACCCACCTAGAGACGAGCTTTGTCGGCTTGACAATGAAATTAACTCAACCAGATAAACATATCACATACTTTCTAATGACTGTGTGGTCGAATAAATAGACCAAACTGGTAGGTAGTGAGTCACTCAGTTTACCTAAAACATAGAGATTTTGATGTAGTTGTGTTCTCTGAACTAGCTGGATAGTGTGTTTGCGAAGCTTTCATTGTCCTACTAGGCAACATCATCAGAGCGTACTTTTTATTTGAAGTGAGCTTTTAGATTTCTCCACGAGTTTATTAGTCATCTCTCCTGGTGGGTGACCTTGAACGTGATTGGTTGCTTTTGTGTGTTTTTTCACACTCTCTAGGCTACTTGTATTGGTACTGAGTGTTTCCTTGACCTGAAGTTCGACCCTTTGAGTATTAGATTTCCTTCTTATCCGTTGGGAAATTTTGTGTATGTCGATGTGTCTGTTAATTGATGATTCACTGAAATACCAGGCTCCTAAAAATTCTCTGGCATTCTTGATGTTTCTTCTGTCTATAATTTGAACTTTTTCGAAGTTGAATTGATGGTTGTCTATATACAGTGATATGAGGGAAGGAGTGGATGTCTTGTCTTTTGATGGCTAGTCTATGTTCATTGATACGAAGACGAAGAGGATGCCCACTTTGGCGAATGTACTGTTTTTCGCAGTCGTCACAACTTATTACGTAGCTGTTGTTGGTTTTATCTTCTTTCGTTGTTGAGTCTTTTGGTTGACACATAGCTGCCAGCTGAGTGAAGTGACTTTGTTGGTTTGTGTACGACATCAATTCCTAAAGGTTTGAAGAGTCTTGTAGTAATTTTCGAGATGTCTTTAATGTATGGTAAGGCGATTTTCTTTATGCTCTCCTTGAGGGCCTATGATTTGGTAGGTTGACGGCTTGGGGGCAGATGTCTTTTGATGAAGTTCCGTGGATAGGGATAGAGCATTTAACCAGATGTATAATAATAATACCTTCACCAGCTGAGTTCAGTAATGCACAGAAAAACTCTGCCATTAATATCATATGCACTTACAATTACACTATAAGTGGCGATAGGGTCATTTTTTCCCTTCACGTTCCCTATCGGAACATAGGGCTTCAAGCTAGTGGCTTGAAGTTTCTGTAGCAGTGTTTATTTTACAGGATGGGGTTGCTAACTTCATGCCCAACCTTTCCTCTTTACCAGCATTATTTCTGGCTCAGCGAGGTAAAGGAGTGCGTCGGTGGCCGGGGATCGAACCCCGGACCATATGCATGGTCGGTGAGATTCCTAACCGCTATGCCACCGACGCGATAGGGTCAAGGTATTAAAAATTAATATAGTTAGGTACAGAATGACTTTCATCAAATCACTAAACAGAAATGTAGCAATAGTCACTTCTGGACACATAGTAAAATTGTGTTGATAAACAGTAGAGAGTAAAAACTATTTAAGTTGTGTGAATGTATTTGATATGATTGTGAGGCGTATATTGTATTCAAAAAGTCAACCATTAACCAAATACTGTATTACCTATGTATTGTATCAAATAAACGCATCTAATGTGGAAGTTATGTTGTATCTACTATAGGGCCTACCTAATTTTAAGGTCATATTTATTTGCACTACTGGTTTGGGATTGTGGTTTCTCCAGCTGTGATATGATGGATTAATGTCAGGTGTCTTATGGTGGGGTAGACAGATAAACAGTGAATTATCTTTTCTCATGCCAACTTCATTGGCCATGTTATTGTTCCCTTGGGTTTCGAGTGGAACATAGGGCTTCAGGAACACATCTCCATTTCATCCTGTTCTCTGAAATCGTCTTTAGCTGGTTCCGCATTTGTCCATAAGCTCTAATCTCCTCCATGTTACTCTCAGAAACTCAACTGATCGTTTCCCACTTGGGTTGTACTCGAACGGATGGCATGGCAGGCGACATCATTCGACTGTCTCCCCAGAGTGTATCCGATCCATCTCCATTTTCTTCTGCATATTGGTTGAGCAATAAGTTCTTGGTTCGTGCATTCCAGAGTTCCTTGCTGCTAATTCTTTCTGGCCAGCCGGTCATTTGATCTTCAGTATGGAGCCAGCAAAGGCAGCTGTTGATAAAAGTCTACAGCCTGTTGAAGATTCTTTCCTTGACGCACGTATCAAGCTTCCGTAAATACACTTTTCTTCCTCGTCTTTTGTGTTCTGTCGTTTTGAGTAGCTGGTTGAGAGATCAGTTAGCTGTTGTATAAGTTTTTTGGCGTAGACAAGCGATATTCGTGATTACGGCGTCCCTATTCAACTCAACGTTTATTTTTTTTTGTAAAGTATAAAATCAACAACCCTAAATGGTGAACTCTCTCTATAATCATAATTCCGATGAGAAGGGTTGGGTCTCATATTCATTTGTTAACTTTTGTCAAAACACTCCTCCCAGCAATTATTACAGAAATAGGTCCCAGTTAACAGTGTCTACCAATATTTTACTATAACGAAACTGTTTCAAGAAGATTTATCCTTAGCCTTTGCCTAGTCAAATAGGTGAATGTGAATGTAAATGAAAAATTAAAATATAAAAACCGATGGATACTTTTCCCTGCTTTGTGGTTTATCATTATCATCATCATCGCCATTATCATGATAATCTTATAAAGCCAACAGTTCTATTTCAGTCTTGATTTTAAATATAGCCACATTTTAATGCGTTATATATATTAAGCAATCTAACTCTTCAATTGTGGTGGACTGGATTATGCATCAGACAGTGGGAAACGAGAAGACAGGGATATCCTGGACCGACATGAAGAATCTAGAAGACCTGGATTTCGCGCGTGGATGATTTATGTTTGATGTCATACAAAATCGAAGACTTACTAGCGAAAACCGACAAACTGGTCGAAGAAGCAGCCAGAGAAGACAGGACTCCAGGTGAACATAGACAAGATGGAGGTTATGAAAATAACCAACCAAAAACAACAACAACAGCAGCAACATCCAGTGCCAATCACCATCAACGAGAGGGATTTGAAAGAGGTTACTTCATTCACTCACTTATCTAGGGAGCATTGTCTCAACTACAGGAGGAACGGACGAGGATGTCAAAACGAGAATCAGGAAGGTGAGAAACACATTCATCAACCTAAAACCAATCTGGAAATCTTCGTCACTCAACTCAGCATCAACAACAAAATTCGGATTTTCAATACAAACGTCAAGTGAGTCAGTTCTTCTATACGGATGGATCAGAAACTTGGCGGCGGGTCACAAAGAATATTTCCAACAGCCTGTTGCAGACATTTATCAACAACAACTGTCTTCGTTCTATACTGAAGATCAGATGGCCGCCGGAAGAATCACCAACAAGAAACTATGGGAACAAACGAAACAAGAACCAATCGCCCAACAAATATGCAGGAGAAAGTGGAGATGGATTGGACACTCGCTGAGGAGGCCGCTGGGTGACATCGCGCATCAGGCCATGGCTCGAGTGGAACCCGAAAGGGAAGCGGCGAGTGGGACGTTCAAGGGTGACATGGAGGAGATCGTGCGAATAAGAGTTGAAACAGTATGGATTAACATGGACGCAGGTGGAAAGGACAGCAGAAGACAGAGACAAGTGGAGAAGTGTAGTTGAAGCCCTATGTTCCACTAGGAACCTAAGGGAACGATAATAATAATAACTCTTCAATGCACTGTGGATCCGAGACTTGGAGATGACGTCTGAAGTAATAAAAATTATTTGCCCGTGTTTGTTATTTCCCAATGATATATATATCTAGACAAAATTGAACGACCTTATTTTGGCATATGTGCTCCTTGGATAGATATCTAAAGTTTCAGTGAGAACTGCAACACTCACTTTAGAATCAGGTACGGACATCAAGCAGGATTCTACTGTCATCCATAACAAAGCAACCACATGACTTCCAGTTATCAATCCTGATAATATCGAGGCATGCCTTCAAAGAGCTGATATACTACATACAGTATATAGCTTATCAGTGTGGTCATATATTTCAAAGGGAAATAAATAACATGAATAGATAATTCAAAAGCATATTCCGTTTTGAAAGAGGTGGCTCTCGTAACCCAGCGACGTAGTGGATAATATCTTGGCGTTTGAAGCGTTGTCTTCTGTTGACTCTTAGGGGGTTCGTCATTCCAAACTAGGGGTTGGGTGGGGTTGGAGCAGGTACATGCTGATGAAGAGTCTCGAATGAGACGAAACACCTGCTGCTAACTACCAGTGTGAAACAATTATCTACTACATTAGTTTTAAAGTGTTCATTTGTGAGGATTTGATTAGTTCCAAGTTTGATCATAGATTGATATCGGTCAAAGAACCACAGACTCTTCAGTAGAATACACTCCAAGACTTTGAGGTTACAAGGTAAGCGTGTTGACCATTCAGTCAGTGTGAAGGAATTCAATGGCTTATGAATTCCAACTTCTAACATTTCCTGATTTTTTAGCGCCTCTGCCAGCCAATGTTATTGGTGAGTATTTGTAATCACAGCCGATCTGGTGGACCCCACTGGTCATAACTTCTCTCTAGAATTCCAGGGACCTTCTTCTTGTATACAATCCCTAGTGAACATGAGACCAATTCCCAGTTTTTAGTTGTTAAGAATTCGATTTTTTTCCCTTTTTTGATCACGGATTGATATCAATTAGAGAACTATTAGAAACTAAAAAGAACTGGATAGCTATTTCGTCCCATTTTAGGACTCTTCATCAGTACGTACTCATAACTCTGCCATCAGGGATCAAATCAAAGACTATTCAGGTTGCTTGTTGTTGTTGTTTTTTTAACATTTGTTGTCAATTTCAGATTTATCTGAATTAGAGTTTTAAATTTTCATTTAAAATGATTACTGATTAATTGTTTTAATAGTATCTTAATGTGATAATCTTATCGCAAAAAATACTGTACATTTTGCCTTATCTAGCAACGTCTTCATCAGCTGGCTAAACAACTTCATTGTGATTATTATCATCATCATTATACTCATACTCATCATTCACATGCTCCACAACTCCCTCAGCAACAACAGTCCAATAAATCAACATTTAATAATCGACCAGAATCATCTTTAAGTCAGCGTAAAGCCATTCACAACAATAGTACAAAAGTATTACCACCACCACCACAAACAACAACGACAACAATGGCGACGACAACGACAATGACGACAACGACGATAACACCGTCGACTGCAACAATGACACAGTCAACAATAACAACAGCAACAACACCATCATTTCCAGTTGGTTTTGGTTCTAGTACACCAAGATATGTATGTTATACAAGTAAAGAAATCATGGATTTAAAACATCATGGTGAAACAGGTCTAGTCATGATGACAATGATGAATACAAATAATAATAGAAATAAATACTACTACTGCTGTTATTCAAAGTCAACTATATCATCAGAAAAGAATAAACAACGTGTGAGTGGATCGCATTTATCAAAGTTTAATTGTAGACATCCATATTCAGCAGTTAGTGGCGGCAGTCGAGGTGTCGGTGGTGGTGGTGTTGGTGATGGTAACGTGAAGAGTCGACAACAGAATTCTTATTGTTCAATTACTCGTTTAGATAAACGATTAACTAGATCTGCATATCAACATATTCCTGCCAATCATACTACAACTACTAACACTACTACTACTAATACTGCCAGTAATCCTAGTAGTATGTATGATTGGAATAGTTTATCCTTCCGTATTGGTCATTATCCCCAGATTGATAATGATGATGATGATAGAACATCAATTGATAGTGGTCAGTTAACAAATCGAACAGATCAATCAATTGAAAATATATTTCTACCTAGTGATGCTGTTCGTAAGTTTATAATTATTAATATTATTATTATTATTATTCCCTATGGTTCCGAGTGAAACATAGGGCTTGAATAGTACACCTGAACTTTATGGTGTTTTCTACAGCCTTGTTTTTTTTACCTAGCTCGACGATTACTCATACGTCTTTATCTACCTCCTAATATGATCTCCGCCGACTCATATTCGACTTTCACTTAAAGACCTGTCTGGCGCATGATGTCACTCAACGCTCTCCACAGTGCATGTCTCCGATCTATCTCCATTCCCATTATTATTATTATTGTTCCCTTGGGTTCCTAGTGGAACATAGGGCTTCAACTGCACGCCTCCACTTGTTTCTGTCTTCTGCTGTACTTTTCACCTGCGTCCATGTTAGTCCATACTGTTTCAATTCCTCTTCACATGATCTCCTCCATGTCACCCTTGGACGTCCCACTCGCCACTTCCCTTTCGGGTTCCACTCGAGCGTTGGCCTGACACGCGATGTCATTGAGCGGCCTCCTCAGCGAGTGTCCAATCCATCTCCACTTTCTCCTGCATATTTGTTGAGCGATTGGTTCTTGTTTTGTTTGTTCCCATAGTTTCTTGTTGGTGATTCTTTCCAGCCGGCTATCTGATCTTCACTGTGGAGCAAAGAGACGTCTCTGCAGTAGCTTGGTGACTCACGCACCAAGTCTTTGAATCATATAGCAACATCGATGTTGAAAATTCCAATCTTGTTTCATTAGGCTCAAAGCAAATGATTTTTGCACTGATTTCAGAATAATGAAGAACTGTTTGGCTTTTCCGATCTTGATTTTAATATCATCATCAGTGTGGACTGTAGTTGAAACGATGCGGCCTAGGTACGTGAGGAAAACACTGTCCCCGTCATTGATAGTGATTTGTATGTGTTGTTGCTAGTGTTAAGTCGTATTCATCTGTGCCGCCTGTAATTAAAAACGATGCTGTCTAAATAAGTTAAAGAAATAACCTACTTCGAATTTTTGCTACTAATGATGTTTGATGCTTCTTGATGTTGTGTTGGTTAGGCATCTCTATAACCCGTACCTTCTCTAAGTCCACTTGAAGTCCTTTCTTCGCTACCACTTGTACCGACTTGTTGGTTTTCGCTTGTATATCTTCGAGTCCACGTGACAGTGGACATAAATCATCCACGAAGTTCACATATCCTAGAATCTTCTTATCATTCCAACGTATTCTTATTTTTCGCTCTTCACGCCGTGCCGCATGATCCACTCCACCACAATCAGCAATATTCTAGGTGATGGTTGACACTCTTGTCTTATTCCTGTCTTGACTTCAGAGACTGCCGAGTTTTTCTTTAAGAATCATCTAGCAGGTGGTATCATCATATAGCAGTTGAATGACGTTGATAAGGGTTTTTGGCACTTCGAAATGTTTAAGCAGTTTCCTAATCACTTGGTGGTTAACGCTCTCGAAGGATTTTTAAAAATTGATGCAGTTGAATGTCATTCCATGCTCTCTCCGGCAACGGTGCGTAGAAATGCAATTTGATCCGCACATGACTTGCTTTTCGTGAGTCTAGGTTGTTCCGGGAGGCAGTTCTGCATCTAGTGCATCTTCTATTCTCTCCAGGATGACGCCACTCAATACTTTGGTAGATGTGAACAAAAGCATAATTCCACGCCAGTTTTTGCAAAAGACTAATTTACTTTTCTTTGGTAATTTAACAAGGTAATCTTTCTTCCAATCAGTCAGTACTTTTCCTTCCTTGCAAACTTTCTGTAATAGTGGCTTGCAAATGTTCACTGAAGTTTCTGGATCCATTTTCAGGGCTTCTAGAGGAATTCCATCTGGTCCTACTGCTTTTCCGGCTTTCGGTAACTTTATGATATTCATCAATTCTTCTTTTGTTGGCAGATTGTTGTTCACTGGCAGTTCTGTGACTGTTGATGTTATTTTTAGACGAATTGCAGATAGTGGTCATACTAAAATCAACTATTGGCCTAATAGGGTATCCTGACTTATGAACTTTAACAATACCATACATCCTACTGGGGTTATTAGTTTTGGGCATTAAATTAAACCACTTAGACTCACCTAGAAACGGCTTCATTCGGCGTTTAAGGTCCACTGTGGATTTTTTAACTTTATTCATAACTGTATCTATTGGTTTATTAATTTCCTCATATAGTCCTGTTTGTATGTGAGTATTTGCCTTGTCCAAATTGTCTGATTTGTCTAATACTACTGTTGCATTTCCTTTGTCTGACTTTGTGATTAGTATATCCTTGTTATGCTTAAGGTGTTTCAGGACTTCTATTTCTGGTTTTGTCAGGTTAGGCTTTCCACATTTTTGTCGTTTTAATGTTAGTGCACATTGTGCCCGTACTTCATCAGCCGTAGTTTTGTCTATCCCACTTAGTGCTATTTCTATTTTAGGGATGACATCCTCAGGTTTCAGCTTGTCTACTGATACATTGAAATTTAGTCCCTTTTCTAATACCAATAGTGGTCATACTGAATATAAATCCTGCTGCAGTGCAAATATGTATTTCACCTTCACTATCATCATCCACTATATCAATAACTATCTGCCAATCGAAGATTTTATCAAAAAGTGATACCATCAGTTTCACTATCGTTAACTGCCACAAGCAATAAACTCAACGAAGTGATTTACTGACAGACAGAAGATTTATCCAAGTATTGGTTTGCAGTGATTTGACCGGTTTCAGGATTTCATTATGAGCTGACGTCGGTCGAAGGACCATTAGAAAACCCCTGGGGACTAATTGACAGCTGTTTCGTCAACCTAGTTTGGGGCTTTTCGGCAGTACGCACCCATCGGGGTTGCAACCCAAGACCTTCCGGCTAAAAGGAGAGTTCATAGACTATTAGGCCGATGGGACCCGACCCAATGGCTGGCCTATGAATTCCAACTTCTGCCGATTCACGATATAGCGCGACCATTAGCCAATATCATCACTGGTGGGTATTTGTCCTGAAACCCAACCTTCTGTACCCTACTGGTTATGACTTCTCACTGGAATCCAGGTGGTGATTGATTAACCTTAGGAATTATGTAAATGGTATTCATCACTTTTGAATGATAATGGCATCAAAGTAACTCAATGAATAGTGATTATTTTTAACATTTCATAATTGTAATTTTCGATTATTATGTTTACTTAGCTGCATATCGTACAAATCGTAGTCGCACTTCTACTGCACCTACTGTCCCTGCTTCTGTTGCTCCTAATACTGCCACTACTGTCATTACCAATAGTCAACATTTGGGCGATTCAATTCATTCAGATATTTCATATTCACTTAATACTGACTCATCATTTGCATCGCAGAAAATTTGTACAAATACTAGAAAGCTGAATAAAGTTAATAATAAGGTAAATTTGAATCAATTTCAATGTAATTACTGTAAACAGTACATAATTTTCATTGATAATAATAATAATTATTATTATTATAAATATGCCTATTATAAACACTTGATTAATGAAAAAAAACCAAAAGTATTCTCTTCGATAACTTCTTCATCATGCTGCTCTACTCGTGTAAATTCATAATAGCCTAGGGAGTGCGTCGTTGGTGGTTCATTGGTACTACGCTCACATGGTCCGAGGTTCAATTCCCGGCTGACGTACTCTTAGACCTCTCTCACTCTCCCTCTCAACTGTTATTAAGACCATTGAAGAGGGGAGGTTGGTGAGAGTAAGGTTTTCACAACCCCTTCCCCTCTCCTTGAACATTATTATTATTATTGTTCCCTTGGGTTCCTAGTGGAACAAAGGGCTTCAACTGCACGTCTCCACTTGTTTCTGTCTTCTGCTGTACTTTTCACCTGCATCCATGTTAATCCATACTGTTTCAGCTCCTCTTCACACGATCTCCTCCATGTCACCCTTGCACTGACGTCCCACTCGCCGCTTCCCTTTCGGGTTCCACTCGAGCAATGGCCTGACGCGCGATGTCACCCAGCGGCCTCCTCAGCGAGTGTCCAATCCATCTCCACTTTCTCCTGCATATTTGTTGGGCGATTGGTTCTTGTTTTGTTTGTTCTTCCATAGTTTCTTGTTGGTGATTCTTTCCGGCGGCCATCTGATCTTCAGTATAGAACGAAGACAGCTGTTGATAAAGGTCTGCAACAGGCTGTTGGAAATATTCTTTGTGACACACTGGCCAAGTTTCTGATCCATCCGTATAGAAGAACTGACTGACTTGACGTTTGTATTGAAAATCCGAATTTTGTTGTTGATGCAGGCTGAGTGACAGCGGAAGATTTCCAGATTGGTTTCAGGTTGATGAATGTGTTTCTCGCCTTCCCGATTCTCGATTTGACATCCTCGTCCGTTCCTCCTGTAGTTGAGACAATGCTCCCTAGATCAGTGAAGTGAATGAAGTAACCTCTTTCAAATCCCTCCCGTTGATGGTGATTGGCGCTGGATGTTGCTGTTGTTGTTGTTGTTGTTGTTGGTTGGTTATTTTCATAACCTCCGTCTTGTCTATGTTCACCTGGAGTCCTGTCTTCTCTGGCTGCTTCTTCGACCAGTTTGTCGGTTTTCGCTTGTAAGTCTTCGATTTTGTGTGACATCAAACATAAATCATCCACGCGCGAAATCCAGGTCTTCTAGATTCTTCACCTCGGTCGGTCCAGGATATCCCTGTCTTCTCGTTTCCCACTGTCTGACGCATAATCCAGTCCACCACAATTAGGAATATCATTGGAACATCATCATCAACATCATTGCTACTGGAGCCCTAGAGGTGTAAGCTTGATGTTTCACTCAGAACGCAATGGAATGAAAAGAAGAGTTAAGGTCCAGTTGTTGTTCTTGTTGTTGATAACACTGATGTTTTTCATATAACATTGAATAATTAAGATGTAAATCTCAAGAGATGTGTGTGTGTGATGAATAGACTGTGACTAGATTACAGGTCAAAACATCCATGTATATTCCATATTAGTTTGTTTATTAGATATATCACACAGTGAAACAGTATTATTTACTGGATGACATGGTTTCGAACAAAATTTATTGTTCATAATCATACTACTACTACTGTGATGAGAGCTGTCTACTAGCCAAATTGGTAGACAGTAATTTACGTCAATGTTTACGTTCTCAATATTGGTCGTGAGAAAATATGAACAAAGACTGATTCAAAAACCGACCACAGCAGACTTTCCACAAAGAGATGAAAGATTAACTTTAAGTGAGAAACAACCAATCAGAAGACTGTGTTTGTTTGCTTAACTAAAGTATAATAATGTACATGAAAATATATAAATATGCTTTGATTTCCTTAATAAACGATCTGTTGCCTGGCCCTTGTCTTCTGTTGTTACACTACTACTAGTAGTAGTAGTTCTACTAGTAGAACAGGGGCAGTCAGACTAGCTGAACATAAAATCTTAGCAAAATCTAGATTGGTTGGTCCAAATAAGATAAGAAATCTAGAGAATATCACTACATGCAGTTACACATAACCACACAATAGGATGGGATAGGACGACAGTTTTAAAATCTAATGTCACAGGGTATAAGGAGAGATTGATGACAGAAGCTTTTTTCATCGAATTAACTGAGTAGAATGCGTGTAATAGGAATGATTCAACACCTGTCCACCCAGATATCTGGAAAATTCGACTACCCCAACGACGACAAATAGGAGAGAACAAAGAAAACTATAAAACTCAAGTTTCGAAGTTGTGTGATTATAATTGATGAAATGATTATGAACAGCAATAAATTTTGTTCGAAACTGTGTCATCCAGTAAATAATACTGTTTCACTGTGTGATACATCTAATAAACAAACTAATATGGAATTACTTACTACCAAAGTGCCCAAGTTTTACACATATAGCCATGTATATTGTTAGTATGCATAAATATAGTGCAGCGTTGAACATCAGATATCCAAGGAAATGATCATGAACAATTATTACATATATATATAGTTGTGAATGCTTTTGATTACTGTTCAAATTGAATTCTATTCTCAAGTTTAAACTTGTTTATTGCTTCATATAATTTGATGCGGAATACGGTTCTTAACTATCCAAATTCGATTATATGTGTACCTTTTGTTTGATAAACGGATCTAGAAAATTCATTTATTGACGTGTATCGCTTAAAAATGATATGCCGATAATCGCTTAACATTGTTTCTGGGGGTTATCAATTGAATTGAACAGATTTTTCAATGTAGAATATTGCAAAAAATTGCACCGGTTCAAATTGCCACACTCTATGAAAAGCTCACAAATGTGAAGCGAAAACAAAACAAAAAAAATGCAAAATAACTTTAATGATAAACCGAAATGTAAGGGGGAGAGAAGAGTTGCATGTGAATTTAGTGTGTCTGAGAGATGACATAGAGTCAATGCATCTGAGCTATTGACAACACTATTCCTCACCATATCATTGACAGTCTTCATTCATTGATTCTTAGCGTCTCGAGGATTTCATTTAAACAGTCTACTCATTCCTAGGTCGGGAGACACTTAATGGATTCATGCTATGTTTTGATTTTATTTCACCTGCAATTCTTTCCCTACCCTATCCTGTATCAGATAACACACTGCTTGATGAGGAAGGTAATTACGTGGCAAGCGTAACACGTGCCCTAGCCGTTTCAATCGATGAAGTCTCATAACTTGATTTTCTACTGACATTCCCTCCTTATTGAACAATCTACTCTCAACCTCAGTATTACGGACCATATTATGCCAAGTAACACGAGTAATACGGATGAGAGACTTGCACTGTGCGTCATCGGGAGCATCTCAAACAAACTACAGACCTTCATTAACAGTTGTCTTCGCTCAATACTCAAGATTAGATGAACGGCCAGAAAAGATCAGCAACAGGGAGGGATCTATGGCAATGAGCGAACCAACACAGCAGGAACCGATTGTGAAACAAATAGGCAGGAAGAAATGGAGATGGATTGGCTGGCCATACTCTGAGGAAACCATCAAGTGACATCACTAGACAAGCCATTGCTCGAGTGGAACCCGACTGAATGGGAATCGGCGAGGTAGTTGGTCGTCAGTGCAAGGGTGACTTGGAGGAGGTCATGTGACGAGGAGGTGAAAACGTGTGGGCAGACTTGGAGCCAGGTGAAAACTGTAGCAGAGAACCGAACTCAATGGAGACGCACGGCTGAAGTCCTATGTTCCTCTATGAATTAAAGGAAACAATAATAATAATAACACGATAGATAGAATGCAAACATTTATGGTCAGTGACGATTAGTCTCTTTATATCATTCACTTACTACTCCTATGTCTAACAGTCGTAAAGAAAGACGGAATGAAGTGGAGTGTAGTGCCAATGATATTTTTTGATGGATAGCTAAAAATATCTCCTCTACACCAACGACAACACATATTGACAAATGACATTCGAGAGTCTTCGTATTTGAAGTGAGATTTCCTGAGGAATCAGTTCACCAATTAGAGCTAGTTCAACTTTCTAAATAAGTAAAATGTTTAGTACAGTCAACCATGCCAATCCCTATCCTTAATCTCTTTTTTATATACGGAATAAAAAAACTTTTGAATGAAGTTTGTCCTGTGTTAGGAAATACAAACTCTACATTAGGATATTAATATATCAAATTAAACGTGTTTCTTAATCCATAAATTTACTTAAGGGAGATTTCCAATATACTTCAGATAGGTAAAATTGTTTATATGAAAAATTATCATTCGAACATGAATACAAACAAGACAAATAGCGCATTGCTGAAGCTTTAGCCATTTTGTTGGGAAAACCAGAGTTATTGGTATTAGATAGTTAGAGGCAATCGGCAGGAAGCCTTGTTGCGACCTAGGTTTCGTGCTAGTTGACACTCATCAGCAGGGCGTATCTGCAACCCTGAGGGAACTCATGTCCCTTCTGAAATTTGAACCCGCGTCACCCAGTGCTGCAGTCAGAGAGGTTACCACTGAGCTATTCAGGCTCGCGACTGACCTCCTGTAGGACTGTATTGGATATTTTTGATTGCACACTAGTCAGTAATTAGTGTAATGTGTCTAGTCCTATCTAGGTGGCTCGCCATTACGGTGCACTGTGAATTGTTGGTGCAATCAAAAATATCCAATACAGTCCTACAGGAGGTCAGTCGCGAGCCTGAATAGCTCAGTGGTAACTTCTCTGACTGCAGCACTGGGTGACGCGGGTTCCAATCTCAGAAGGGACATCAGTTCCTTCAAGGTTGCAGATACGCCTTGCTGATGAGTGCCAACTAGCACGAAACCTAGGTCAAGCAAGGCTTCCTGCCGATTGCCTCCAACCATCTAATACCAACAATTCACAGTGCACCGTAATGGCGAGCCACATAGCATGGTGGCCACATTGCAAACATGACTGATAGAATTCAGTCTGCACCGAAGATAGGACTAGATACATTACACTAGTTACTGACTAGTGTGCAATGAAAAACCAGAGTTATGCATACAAAATAAAAATTACTTAACCATTTCTACTATCATGCCAACAACTGTGTCTACTGATTTGATTTTTGCTTGTTTCTTTGTTCGCTCTAAATCTTAATAACTCTGGTATTTCTTTGGAACTCTTACATGATTCTATATTTTCCTTTCTTAAACATTTCCTTGCACCCTGATCACAACTCATCCATTAGATTATTCATCTTATTACCTAACCCTAGTTCGCTTACACAACTCCTTTTGTGCATTCATCACTTTTCTTACAACCCTCTTTCATGAGACAAATGTTTATAAATCAGATTTTACAGTTATCAAAATGATTTCACTGCAGAAAAAAATGCCTCTTCTCTGAACTATTTATCCTGTTTCTGTAATTATTTTGCAGAGAATTTGAAAATTTCAAGTTAGTTTTCAACACAGGTCACTCATTATGAGCTGAAAAAGAAGTATTTAAAGCCTCGAGGTAATAAACACTTGTCTCTTCTTAATTCATGACTTCTAGATAATTTTTGATTACAACAGCATCCGAAATTGAATTCCAAATCCGTTGATCTCATGCTATACCATCATTCAGGCTCTGAAGTACCATCTCGTCATCTATTTTTTTTCTAAACCAACTGGATTTTCGAAACCGATCACTTATTGGGTTGTGAATGCTTACTGCTATTCGGAACTGCCATCGAAAATCTATTATCATTATTATTGTTCCCTTGGGTCCTGAGTGAAACATAGGGCTTCAACAGCACGTCCCCATTTTGTTCTATTCTTTGAGGTCCTGCTTAGCTAACTTCATGATTGTTCATAGTCTTTAATCTCCTCCTCGCACGATCTACTCCATGTCACTCTTGGGCACACACACCTAAATAGCCGTTTGCCATTCGGGTTCTCCTCGAGCGATGGCGTGGAATGCAGTGTCATTTGACAGTCTCCATCTCCATTTTCTTCAGCATATTTTTTCAACAACAGGTTCTCGATTGGTTCGTTTCGAGGGTTTCTTGTTGCTTATTCTATCTGGTCATTTGATCTTCACTATGGAGCGAAGGCAGCTGTTGATGAATTTCTGCAACCTGTTGGAAATGAATCCAGTAACAACCCAAGTTTCAGACCCATATGGAAGAAGTGAATCAAAATTGGTGTTGAAAGTCCGAATTTCATTCTTTGTACTCGGTGCAGAAGATTTCCAGACTCATTTCAGAGTGATGAAAGTGTACCTTGCCTTTCCGTCCCGTCTGCATTTGAAACGATGGTGCTTTGATGAGTGAAGGAGGTGACCTATTTCAATTTTATCCCGTTGATAGGGATTGATGTTTGCCATTGTTGTTGGTTGAAGGTCTTCCTTCACTCCATCTTCGCATTGTTCACCTGAAGTCCTATCTTTGCCGTTTCTTCAACCAGTTTGTTGGTTTTCGCCAATAAGTCTTCAATTTTTTGTGACATTAAACATTAATCATCCACACGCGAAATTCAGATTTCCTAGGGTTTTCTCATCGGTCAGTACAGAGTATTTCTGTCTTCTCACTCCACACAGTCTGACGCATAATCTAGTCCACCACAATTAGGAATATCATCGGTGATAATAGGCAGCCAGTCTTGTCTTACTCCTGTATTCACTTCGAATGTCTCGCTGAGCTTTGTGTTGTGGACCACATTGAAAATCTTTTTAGTGGTATTTCCTTTTCAGTGATTGTTTTGTTGGTGTTCGTCAGGATTAACACTTACGATTAGTTAAATAAAATTCAGAAATACTCGTCAGTGTGATGCACACTGACCAGTCGACTGGGTTATGAATCTTTTTGGTCCATTTGGTTAGGCCACGCTCTATGTACAACAAGCGGTTCTGTTCGAACATCCATAATAATGGCAAAAGTGGAATAGGTTTATAAAAGAGTTAAAATTCATAAAAATCAAACATGTCACTAATTTATAAAATCATTGACTGTGGTATTAAAAGACACTGATTGTGGAAAATTCTCCACATTCGTGCAGTTGTATTCACTCCTTATCATTTTCCGGATTCTGAACATCAACTTTCATCTCAGCACCACAGTGGTAAATTGTCTTCCTACAGCACTGACTGACGTAAGTACAAATCGCATAGAGAACATTAGTCCTTTCAAGGATTTTGGATACCCCCTTTCCCCGCGCCAACTTGTGCTTCCTGCTGATTGCTTACATACCTGTGTACTGCAGCGTATGCTTTGTGTATGTTTCTACGGAGTAAGGAAACTGTTTAGTTAATGGTGCGCAATTCTATGCGGAGTTTTCTATATGTGCGTCGGTGGCACAGTGGTTAGGACTCTCACCGACCATGCATATGGTCCGAGGTTCGATCCCCTGCCGACGCACACCCTATATCTATGGTCGGCCTGCGAAATTTGGGCTACCGATATCCATGCTGAAAATTCCATACTTGTACTAAAAATACGGTGTGGCATCAAGCTGTAATCAAAATAAAAAAAATAATAAAATAATAAATATTGATTTATCGATCAGTCTGTTCTCATATCTGTGTTGTTTGTGCTCCTCTCATCATCATCTAACTAACAATCTACTAACAACCTTCTATGCTCAAATGTGTTTATTACTATTATTTTTTTCAGGTTATACATACGAATTTGCTAAACAATAAACAACTGCCAGCATCAACAAATTCTTCAAAATGTCAAAAATCTACAAAACAATCATCGAATAGAAGACGGTCGACCTCTTTAGCATCAACATTCACAACGACAACGCATAAATCAAGACAATCATCATTATATGAAAACAAGAGTAGCAAGAGATGTAAAACAACAATTAGCGTTAATTCATCACAGAAATCTGCTGTGCCTACTTCTACTTCTTTTAATACTACTGCTACTGCTACTACTACCGCTACTGCCTGTCCTATTCGTAGAAAACATACTTCCATGGATTGTAAAAGGTCAAATCATCGAAATAATGTTGATAAAAGTAGGAATTATCAGAGACAAAAATCAGCAACAATTAGCAATCAAACACCAATTACTACTAGTAGTAGTAGTATAAAGCATAAACCAATAAGCACTTCAAATATTAGTAGTAGTATAAACAGACAAAAGTCAGCAAGTAAGAAAGCAGTTGTTTCTACAAAGGTGGTAAAATCAACGGGGACAACAATGACCACTACTACTCAAAAAGAATGTGTGAAGTAAGTGTCAACTGTATTATTGTTATTGATTACTACTGTTATACTAATCTTTCCTTAAGTTCTGAGTCAGAGAGATTGGCTACAATGACTTTTGAAGGCGAAATGGAGAGGAGGGGTCATCAAAGCTTGTGGCTAGTCATGGAGCTGTTTGATAAAAGTGTTGATTCATATTATTATTATTGTTTCCTCTTGTTCCTGGGGGAACATAGGGCTTCAGCAGCATGTCTCTATTGCTTTAGATTCTCTGCCAACGTTTTCACGTGGCTCTACCTTTGTTCACACACTTTCATCTCCTCTTCACATGACCTCCTGCATGTCACTCTTGCATGACCAACTCGCCGCTTTCCATTTGGGTTCCAATCGAGCAGTGGCCTGTCGTGTGATGTCACTTGATGGTTTTCTCGGAGTATGACCAATGCACCTTCATTTCTTCCTGAATATATGTTGCATAATCGGTTCCTGGTTGGTTCCCTTCCAGAGGTCCCTGATGCTGATCTTTTCTGGCCGGCCATCTGACCTTGAGTAATGGGCGAAGACAGCTGTTGATGAAGGTCTGCAGTTTGTTCGGTTTCACATTGGAGTTGGAAATTTGGATCTTATTTTTTATGCTGAGTAATGCTGTCGATCTCTACACGGAATTGAGAGTAGTGAAAGCTTGTCTTGCTTTTCCGATTCTTGCTTTTATATCTTCGTCAGTTCCGTCCGCCTGTATTTGAAACGATGCTTCCCAGGTTGGAAGGTAAAGGAGCTTGCTTCTTTTAGATTCCTCCCATTCATGTTGATTGTTGTCTGTTGTTGTTGCTATTGCTATTGGCCGGGAATCTTCATCACCTCTGTTTTTTCTATGTTCACCTGAAGGCCTATCTTCTCTGGATGCTTCTTCTGCCAACTTGTTGCTATTCACTTGCATATTTCCCAGTTTGTGGGAAATCAGACATATATCATCGGCGAAGTCCAGATTCTCCAAGTTTTTGTGTGAGTCCATTTTATGCCTGTTTCCTCGTTGCCCGCTGTTTGTCGCATTATCCAGCCTACCACAATCAGGAAAATCATTGGAGATAGTAGGCAGCCAGCTTGTCTTACTCCTGTCCTCACTTCGAAGGATTCCGTGAGTTTCCCGTTGTGGATTACTTTGCATGCAGCATTGTCGTACAACTGTTGGATGATATGTTTAACTGTTGCGTCACCCCGTAGTAGCGAAGTAGTCGCCAAATCGCTTCTCGATCGGCGCTGCACAATCGAAGGCCTTTTCAAAGTCAATGAAGTTGAGGCAGATAGGTGAGTACCATTCCAAGCTCTGTTCAATGATGATCCGAATTGTTGCTATTTGATCGATGCATGACTTGTTCCTCCTGAATCTATTCTGTTTGAATCGAAGTTTTTCATTCAGCGTAGCATCTTTTGTTCTCTCTAGGATGATGCGGCTTAGTATTTTGCTTAGGATGGACCGGAGCATAATACCGCGCCAGTTCTTGCATTGACGTAAGTTTCCTTTCTTTTGCAGTTTGAATACGTAGCCTTCCCTCCAATTAGCAGGTGCCTTTCATTCTTTCCACACCTTTTCCAGTGGTGCTGTCATCAATTTCGCTTATGTCTCTGGGCAGGCATTCCATCTGGTCCTGCCGCTTTCCCAGTTTTAGCATCTTTATGGCCGTCAGGATTTCTGCTTTTATCGGAGGGTTGATATCCACTGATAGTTCTGCTTCTGCTGTTAGTATTATTGGGAGCGTTGTAGGTGACGGTTTATTTAGTAGTCTTTTGAAGTGTTCAGCCCATTATTTTCATTGCTCCACCTCTTTGGTGATTGGCTTTCCATCGGCATCCTTCACTGGCTTAATTTGTGTTGAACTTTTCCCTGATAGGAACCTAGCCGTCTGATAGAGTGTCGAGATGTCTCCTTTGCCTGAAGCTTCTTCTGCTTCAATCGCCATTGCTTCATAATATTGTCTTTTGTCCTCCTTGGCACTCTTCTTTACTCTTTTGTTCAGTGTATTGTAGCTTGCATTCAACTCCTGTTTTTGTTGCTCGTTGATGCACTGTATAATCTTTTGTTTTAACATCCTTCTCTCTTTTATTAGTCTCCGTGTGTCTGTGGTGATCCACTGGCTTTCTGTCTCTTCTTTCTGCCTAGAACTTCCATGCAGGTTTGACTCTATACCGATTTCAGGTTTTTTTCAGTGCTTTTCAATGCTGGTCTCTTCCCTAGTGTGGATTTGTGTCTCCGCCTTTTTCTTTATAATTGCAGTGAAGATGCCCTTTGTGGCCTGATCCTTCAGCTTTTGAGAATTGAACGTGGCTTCTGGTCTATCTTCAGCTTTTCTTTCTTTGAAAGTTTTTTATTTGATTTGAAGTGTCCCTCGCACAAGTCAGTGGTCTGAGACTACACCTGCGCCTATTCTTACTTTTGTGTCCAGCAAGCTGCGTCTCCACTTCTTTGAGATTGAGATCAAATCAATTTGGTTTTTGGTTCGCCCGTCTGGTGACACCCATGTATCTCTGTGGAAATCATTTTGCTTGTATACGCTGCCACCAATCACTAGTTCATTGAAGGCACAGAAGTCTGCGAAGAGTTCTCCGTTTTTATTCATAGGTTTAAAAAAATTTTTTAATTAAATTTTAAATCACACTGTCTAGAATAGTAAGGTTTTAAGAGTAATAGGCGTACAGTTATTTGAGTCCTAATCAGAATTGAGTGGAGTGAATCAATAGTTCTCACTATTAATTATTAATAGCGTGGAAATTCACCCTAGTCCAATTTGTATTCTAGTCCCATTATGGATAAGATTTTATTTTGATAAATCACACTGTGTTACACAGTAATATTAATGGTGACGTTTCGAGCACAAATTATTGCTCATAATCATATCAAGTTACTCACACAACTTTTTCCTTCATTTAAATACATGAGTAGAATTGATGATTAGACATTTGAATAAAAATCACTATGGGATAATGTACATTCAGAAATAATAATATGAGTGTTATTGATCAAATACAATTAGATGGGAAATAAGACGAATGTTCTTATAGTTATAATAAGTAATTTGTTAGAATGTTGTGATTTGCTTGAATTGAGATAGAATTTTAAGATTATTTATTATCCTCTTCTGATTTGACTGGTGGTAATAATATCTTCCATATTTCTGTTATTTGGATTGAGTCATTCTTATTGCATGTGTTGGATGTAGATTGAATGAACCAGGATTGAGTAATCAATCTCTCTCTCCACCCACATAGAATACTTCTTAGAATCTTAACCCTCTCCCACCCTATTGTGTGGTTGTGTGTTATTGCATGTAGTGCAATTGCTGAGCTTTTTTCTAAATTACTTATCGTTTCTGGATCAACCATTCTTACCTTGGCTAAATTCTTATGTTCCGACTATCTGATTACCTCCGATCTACTAGTTCAACCTGTATAGTTGACCACACAGTCATTACAAGGTATTTTGTAAATTATATTATTTTGTTTAATTGGGTCCACCGGGTCTTTTAGCCTACAGAACTTGTCTCTGAGTGAGTTTGTAGGTTTGAATGCCACCCTAATTCCTGCTTTATTTAGAATCCTACGTAGGGTCTCAGATGTCCCCTTCTTATATGGTATAGCAGTAGATAACTTAAATTCTCTCTTGTTTGTGTTATCATTACTAGTTTCATAATTATTTTTATTTGGCTTTTTTCGATCTTCTTAATGAATTTTACGGGATAGTTATTTAACACCAACGCCTCTCCTATCTGTTTTATTTCATCATTTAGGTCTTTTCTTGTGCTACTTAGAGCTACTGCTCGGTTTGTTAGACATTTAACTAAGCCTGCCTTAACAGTTAAAGGATGAGATGAATTAAAGTTTAAATATCTATTGTATTCTAGTCGCATATTTCTGGTTGAATAGCGTGTAATGTTGGTGTAGTTGTGTTCTCTGAGATGGATGGTTTGTCTGTAAAGCTTTCATTGCCTAGTAAGGCAATCAAAATGAGAGAACACAACTATACCAAGGGCATCCACCTGAACTGCAAATCTTCTCCCCATTATAACGTGTTATGTCTCAGAGTAGGATAACATTGAAGATCCCTTGTCCAATGACTGACAGTTTGGATACAGATTCAAAAAGTGTAAAGTCAGTCGAACGAGAAATGTCACATTAATATGTGTGTAAAACTTGAAGAAAACTTGAGAAATGTCACACACACTGCATGACGCCTTAAATTTACTTAAATCTTCTTCTATGTAAATAACATTTATATATTATTGAAATATTCGACAAAAATCAACAAAATAAATGTTATTTGATGATATCGCTGACTGAGTTTCAGCAGAGAACTAAGCACAGAAGTACACCGGTTCAATTCGCTGCACCCTATGTAGCACATAGAGGTAGATAAAAGAGAGAAAACAGACATCCAGAAGAACTAGAATAAGCCTAATTGAGCGGCAAATAGATTATTTCCGTGGAAAAACATGAGACTTGAATAGATCTGGGAGAATTAATGCATCTGTGCCATTCAGAAGGATTTTTAGCCATATCATCAACCATCTCCAGCTGTTGGTTCTTAGCAGCTCAAGGATGCCAAGCAGGCAGAGTACACCTCCTTACGTGCTCGAACCAGCAAGAGTCAAAGTCTTCATGGATTGATTCCAAGTTTTTGGTTTGATCGCACTTAGCTTCTTTTTCATGGTGGTTCTGTATCAACTAATCTTATGAGAATTGATTTATTGTAGCCAGAATTGGGATGCCACCTACGGCATCAATTTTTAACTGACAGACAGTCAGTCCAGCATCTAGACGGATAACTGAGGCAGAATTCGAGCTGGACAAGAATCAAATTTTCATTCAAAATGAATTTGAAGAGTCTTATTTTGTTATCTTTACTGTCAAGCCTCAGTGGTAATTCTTGTTCCGTGTCAATTTATCGAACTCAAAGACTCTTTCAACAAGGAGAGGAAACAAGACACTGGTTAGTATTTTATCTATAAATCGCCTCCTTTCCTAAGTTGACACTACTGTCCTCATTACAAGTTGGGGGACTGAGTACTCTTTTCCTCCAGTGGTAGGAATTTCATATTGATAAGTAGCAAGCGGTGATTGGTCATTATTGTGAAGGTTGTCGTAGGAGAATATACGATGAGGTTTCAACTAGTTAGAGTGAGCAGTAATAATATCATCAATGGTTGCTGAAGCTTTTTCAAGAAAGAGATGATAGGCCAACGTGGTCACAAGTTTTAAAATGCCTCTTGTCAGGAAGAATCGAATTTTGAGCATGATTTAGGTAGACAATGGAGCTAGACATAGTTGCCGATGAAGTAGACTAGCCTCCGAACAAGATGGTTATAGGCATTTTCTGGCGATAGCTTGACGACCACTGCTAAGGGCGCACCACATCATACGCTATTGTGTAACTCTGCACATATTTCTTGACATAAAGATAGTATTTAACTGCGTCTGTCGACAGATCGTATGCTAGTTTTTATCTGTTAAAGACTTTTCAGGTCACTGCGCGAGAGCTTATGTCTATCAAATTTGATCATATTGTGATAAATATATTCATTTCTTAACATTCTCCGAATTCTCCCACATTTTCCGGTATCTCCGTCTTATTGTTCATTTCGTCATGTTAACTCCTACCTGTACATTGCTGTAGCAATACGTTCTTGGTATTTGTATTTTGTATAATATTTTGAAAGTGTGATGTGTGTGACGACTTGAAGTAATGCACTTATTCGCAAAGTTGCTGTACACAACGATTCGTTAGTTTATCCTACTTTTTTATTCTGTGACGGGAGAATTCAGCTACTTAGGTTGAACTCATTATCGGTCAATGACAGTGACAAAATCCTTTTTTATCCATAATTTCTAATGGTTCAGTTGTCCATTCCTTTCCTATCTGTCCTTTGTAATTCATTCTTTTGTGAACAACTTCATACTACTAACTACTAGTAAGTAGTATGGATTTGTTTGTTGATTCATAACAGTGAGTTTGTTGGCTAATGAAGTTTAACTCACTGAATGTATTAATACTCTTTGTGATTTTTTTATCTTGGTGATTATTTTCTTATAGTTAAACACTGTCTTATTAAGTCCCCTTTCTCTTGAAGCTTGAATAAGTAGCCTTCCCTCCCAAGCAAAATACTGAGCCACATCATCCTGGAGAGAATCAAACATGCCAACCTGGATGAAAAACTTCGACCGGAACAGGCTGGATTCAGGAGAAACAAGTCATGCATCGATCAGATCGCAACATTCATTATCATCGCTGAACAGAGCTTAGAATGGCAGTCAGCTCTCTATCTCGCTCAACTTCATCGACTTTGAAAAGGCCTTTGACAGCGTCGATCGAGAGGTGATTTGGCAACTACTTCACTACTATGGGGTGCCGCAACAGTTAGACATATCATCCAACAGTTGTACGACAATGGTGTGTGCCAAGTAATCCACAACGGGAAACTCACCGAATCCTTTGAAGTGAAGACGGGAGTAAGACAAGCTGGCTGCCTATATTCTCAAATGATTTTCCTGATTGCGGTAGACTGGATAATGCGACAGACAACGGATAACGAGGAAACAGGCATAAAATAGACCCACACAAAAATCTTGGAGGATCTGGACTTCGCCGATGATATATGTCTGATTTCATACAAACTGGGAGATATGCAAGTGAAAAGCAACAAGTTGGAGATAGGAGAAGGATCAAAGATAGAAATTCAATTCGGGTGAACATAGAGAAAATAGAGGTAGATGATGAAGATTCCTGGGCAACACTACCAACAGCAACAACAACAACAGACAACAATCAGCATAAATGCAAGGAACCTGAAAGAAACAACCTGCTTTACCTACCAACCTGGGAAGCATCGTTTCAAATACAGGCCAACGGAACTGACGAGGATATCAAAGCAAGAATCGGAAAAGCAAGACAAGCTTTCACTACTCTCAAGCCTGTATGGAGGTCAACAGCACTCAGCATCAAAAATAAGATCCAGATTTTCAACTCCAATGTGAGTGAAGTCAGTGCTACTATACGGATCAGAGACTTGGCATGTCATAAAGAGCATCTCAAACAAACTACAGCCCTTCATTAACAGTTGTCTTCGCTCAATATCACTGAAGATCAGATGACCGGCCAGAAAAGATCAGCAACAGTGATCTCTGGCAATGAGCGAACCAACCAGGAACCGATTGTGGAACAAATAGGCAGGAAGAAATGGAGATGGATTGGCTGGCCATACTCTGAGGAAACCATCAAGTGACATCACTAGACAAGCCATCGCTCGAGTGGAACCCGACTGAATTGGAAGCGGCGAGTTGGTCGTCAGTGCAAGGGTGACTTGGAGGAGGTCGTGTGAAGAGGAGATGAAAACGTGTGGGCAGACTTGGAGCCAGGTGAAGACTTTCAGAGAAGTGAAGGCAATGGAGACGCACGGCTGAATCCCTATGTTCCTGTAGGAATTAAAGGAAACAATAATAATTGCCTATATATGTAGCGGTTTGTCAATTGAAAATATACATTTGCTTCCTATGTCTTGCCTTCTGTTGTTGCAAAACCACCAATAGTCTCCGGTCGTTGGTTCTTAACATCCCATGGAACCTAACCAGGCAGTTTACGCCTCCCTACATAGCTGGCTCAAACTAACTGTTGATGTGACATTTTGACTAGACCACCCCTTACTCTTCTGCAGTCTAATTCTATGTCGACTAACATTACCCATAGAGGAAGGTGATTGCTTGGCATGCGCACCACGTGTTCTAACCATATTGATCAATATAGTTTCACAACGCCTTATTGATTGATACTTACCCCCCAACCTTAAGTAACCCTCTCCACCTAATCTCAGTGTTACTCACTATTATTAATAAATCAGTCTCGAAGCTAATGTTCAGCAATGTTGAGTGAATTTATAATGGGTTTGATCCATAATGGAATCATGGGTTCACCATTCTGAAGAGTCCTAAATGGGGACAAAACAACTATCCGAAGATTTTATATTCGATATCGGAACTTGAAATAAAAATTAACCGTTTATTTTAAATAACTTCCAATATTTTTTTTAAAAAAAGAAGACCTCGTTATCTAATTTTAATTTTATTGTTTGTCCCTTCATTTCTTCTTTTATTCGTGCTCAATTCATTCTGAAAGTTCAAAGCCTCCTCCATCAGTAGGCAATAATCATTATGAAGTGGTAGTCAATCCTTTTATTGAAGAAATCATCGAAAATTCTATCAATTCAATAAAGTCAAAAACATCAAATCAGTTGACCACCAATACACAACAATCTAATAAAATTGTAAATAGAAAGGATAGATTAAAATTACCATTATCACCAAACACCACCACTACGACTACTTCGCCTACTACAACCATATCTATTGTTTCTACAAATTCCTCATCCCCTTCATCAGTATTGTCTCCATCAGCATCATCGTCAGTTCCTTACTCAACAACAACATCATCATCATTATCAACGAACACAATAATCCCTAATAATAGACCAATGATAAATACAGCTGTTTATACAAGTCCTGATAGTAATACTACATCATCTATGACGCTTAAAACACAATCTACTACTCTTATGAGTACAATATCAGCATCAACACCATCATCCTCATCCTCATTGGCATCATCCCCGTCATCCGTAATACCAGAAGTACAAAAACTATCCGTAATAACAACGATATCGGCAACACTGAAACCAACCGATATTATTACAGTCACCTCTTGTTCATCGCCTCCTCTATTAACAATTTCATATGATCCAATAATAACTGAAAGTGTACAATGTAATAATGATATTATGCTATATGAACAACCAATTATTATATATCCTAATGATAATGATAATTATTCGCAATGTGAAATCAATCAACCTATAATGATAATGAATAGTACTACTATTAGTAGTAGTAGTAGTAGTACTACACTGTTGCCAAATAATGAAATTAAACAAGAAGTTTTAATTCAACAATCATTTTATGATATACAATCCCGAGTAAATCATAAAACAAATAAAAGCGAAGGAGATGATGAAGCTGACGGAAAACTTCAATCTCAGGTAATCATATATTTTCGAAATATATTATTATTATTACTATTATTATTTATTATTGTTCTCTTGGCTTCTGAGTGGAACATAAGGCTTCAACAGCACGTCTGTACTTTGTCCTATACTCTGCGATCCTCTTTAGCTGGTCACATGATTGCTTATGGTCCCTCAGGTTCCACTCGAACGATCGCCTGGCGGCGATGTCATTCAATGATCTCCTCAACGTGTGCCCAATCCATCTCCATTTCCTTTCTATATATTTGTTGATCGATAGGTTCTTGGTTGGTTGGTTGGTTTCCATAGTTTCTTGCTGGCTAACTCTTTCTGGCCGGCCATTTGATCTTCAATATGGAGGCAGTGAAGGCAGCTGTTGATAAAAGTCTACAGTAACTGGTTGGAAATGCTTTTTGTGACGCGTGCACCAAGTTCCCCATCCATATAAGGGTGTTGAGTATTCGAATCTGGTGCAGAAGATTTCCAAACTGATTTCGAAGTGATGAAAGCTTCTGACCAGCTTTGACATCTTCATCTGTTCCGCCTGTAGTTGAAACTATGCTGTCTCTCTCGTTGATGATCATTGGTGCCGGTTGTTGTCGCTGTTGGTCGGTTGGTTATCTTCATCACCTTCATCTTCTCTATGTTCACCTAGAGTCCTGTCTTTGCTGCTTCGTCAGCGTTACAAGTGGAACATAGGACTTCAAGCTTCAGCTTCGAGGTTTCAATAGCAGTGGCTTTATTTTTACAGGGTGGATTTTTAGGCTTCATGTCCAACTTTCCATCTTTACTAGGATTGCTACGGGAAAAGTGACGTTTAGGAAACCACCGGCTGAGGATCGAGGCTTGGACCACTTTCGTGGTCGGTGAGCATTCAATCGATGTATCACCGAGGCACATATATATATATAATCTGTGATGGTTGTGCTCTTCATATCCTCCATTTTCAGTGACCATTGCATAAAACTATAAACAACTGGTTGATTGAGATGAGTATCTGTAGGCCACTCACATAAACCAGTAGTGCTTTCTAACTACCCTGATCGAAGTGATCTAAGCACCAGTTAGCCATCTCGATCATTTGACACTGAGCTTATCAGCGGCCTATCCAGTTTAACTCAGCTGAGAGAGACGAATCAATATTCAAAAATACTCGATTTCTGGCTAGCTACTTAAGCGAACTGGTAATACCATATATGAAATTTGCAGTTTGCAAATTAATTATTAACAATTTATACACATCGAGGGTGAAATTCACCACCACAGTTTCTTTTGGAAATCGAAATTACTCAGATCACAATAGGTGGTCTGTTTGATACTATTGCAGTGAGAGCTGTCTGCTAACCGAAATTGGTAGATAGCAATTTACGTCAATGTTTTCGTCCCATATCTTGGTCATGAGAAATAAAAAAAACGAGAACAAAGACTAACCCAACAGCCAATCACAGCAGACTTTGCGTGGGCGGATACGATTAGCAGATATATGGTTTGACCTTCAAAGAAACGAACAGATTAACTTTAAGCGAGAAAACAACCAATCAGAAGACTCTATTTCTCTGCTAATAATAACGAATAATAATGGACATAATAGAAATCTATAAATATATCTGTTGATTTTCTCAATAAACGATCTGTTGCCTGGCCCTTGTCTTCTGTCGTTACACCATAAATGATAGTCAACAAAATAAGCATGATTGTATGAAATTATATAATACTGACTGATTGACTGACATGACTAGTAGGATACCACTTACGTCAACCATTATTCCTTGCTAACTAGATCGAAGGGACAGACATACAACCGGATAACACCTCTACTCTATGGATAACTCCAGTTGGCAGATAACACATGAACCTTCCATTTTTTATTCATTAGGTGTGTAATGTTACTTTCCAAATAAATGAAGTTTTCACGGACTGGTTTTAATCGGATCATAATATAACAATTTTACATATGATTTCAAGTTAGTTGTGCTTGGAAATAACGCAAATCAACCTAAAGATGTTTATGCGAAAAATTCTATATGACTCATCTGATGAATACGTTAACTTTATAGTGTGGATCCAATTGGTTTTATGGTAGTCAGCGAATTTTTTGATGGATTCAATAAGAAGCCATCTAGTATGTAGTTGGTTTAACCAGACTTATTTGAAACTGAATTAAGACTTGTTTTTAAGCTTGACTAACTTTAGTGCCACTGACTGTAGAGATTATATTCCAGTATAGACTACGTCAGCAACTAACATCAGCCGGAGAACCACTGAAAACAAGGGTGTAGCGTACAGCTGTTTCGTCCTATTTTGGGACTTACTCAGCAGTACTCACCCATCAACCCTGGATTTTCAGGTTACGAAGTCAGTCGGTCGGTCGGTTTTCGACATAGAACTTTGCACATATGTGCGCCAGTTCAAGTCGCCACACTCCCTCTTTGTAGCACACAAAGCAAGAGAAGAAAGTAGGAGAAATGCATAATATAGACAGTAAACAGAGGTGTGAGACAAAGGAATAGTAATAACGAAGAACAAAACAGTTTAATTGGAAATCATAAGTCACAAGGAGTGGATGCATCTGCGCCAGCCATTGAGAACGATGAGTTTGAGCCATATCACCAATTGTTTCCAACCGCCATCGGTTTTTACGGTCCCGAGGACCCCAACCAGGAGGTTTACACCTTCCTACGTGGCTTAAACTGAATGTTGTAGATTTCATTGACTGGTGACATGTTTTCGTTTGACCGCCGCTAGCTCTTTTCCAGCCTGGCCCTAGTGGTTACGAAGACAGCCGACTGCCTTTTGATGCCAAGGGTTTGTAGTTGTTAATTTCTCAGAAATGGAAACAAACCCAGTAGCAGATGATATTTATTCCTTCATAAGAATGTATTAATCACAGTTTGCTACATTTCATATTTCTAGTTACGTCGACTTACTGTCTATTCCCGCCTAGGACTTATAGTTATTTCATGAGCTTCGAGATTGTCGGAAAAAATAAGCGGATTTTGTTACAGAATTGTTTTTTTGTCGTTAAGTGAAACTGACGTATACTTATCAAATGTTATTTTGCAGGGCTTTTATTAGTTACAGGTTTGATCAAGATTTGACATCAATTAGAAGGTCAGAAGTTGGAATTTACTGACCATTGGATTGGGCATCAGTGACTGGAATAGTCTACGAGCTCACCTTATAACCAGAAAAACTTATGTCCAAACCTCAGTGGGTGCGTACTGAGGAAGAGTTACAAACTAAGACGAAACAGTTGTCCAATACTACGTAGTTTTCCAGTGGTTTACTAACTTATAGTCATTTCGTGATCAAATTCAGAACTAATCATATCCCTGCAAAGCAATATTTAATAATTAATCTGGTGTTCACTGGTGACTGGCTACATTTAGGAATTTACCTGCAGATCTAGTAAGATATTGCAACATCCGAAGGCCATCAAGTCAGGGAAGAGATCAGTTAAGGCCTATGACACTGGCTAGCAGTTGTGCTATACATACCGCGAAATGGTAGAAGTTGGAATTTACTGACCATTATTGGATCGGGTACCAGTGATTGGAATGGTCTACGAGCTCACCTTATAACTGGAAGGTCCTATGCCCAAACGTCAGTAGATGCGTACTGGTGAAGAGTTCCAAACTAAGACGACACAGCTATCCAGTACTTGCATCAGCCTGAAATTGAACTCTTACTTATCTCATCGTCTGGAGGTTATCTTTCTGTTCAAGACTCATGGAGCAGATGCATTCCTGTGAGGCCTGAATGGAACATAAGTGTATTAAAGCTTTGAAATTTGAGTGGTCGCGGTTGCTAGTCACACACACACACACACCCAATCTTCCCTCTTTTCCGGTCTTATTACCAGCTAGGATGAGGTTTGAGAGTGCGTCAGTCGGGAATCGAAACCTGGACCACATGTGTGTGTGTGTGGTTGGCGAGTGTTCTGCTCTTGGACGACAACCAGCGCATACATTAAAAGACTTATATCTTCAACTAAATATAATTGTTTATTTATTTTATTTTATTTCATTTATTTACAGAGTTGTCAATTAAGCCTCATCAAGGATCCATATGATAAACCTATTCAAATAGTACATCCATTACACAATAATAATACTAAACAGTTAAATAAAGATGACACTACCGCTAGTACCACTACTACTACTACTATCATGCAACAATCTGCTGGTCGATTAATCATTTCATTATCAACAGAATTAGCTGAAAGAGAAGCACGTAAAAAACGCTTAGAAGGTATTATGTCACGTATAAAATTACACACCAAGAATGCAAATATTGAAAGACAACATTCCCAACCACAACCACAACCACAAATGCAACTGCAACAACAACTCGTTGATACACAAACAAATCAACAACTTCTATCGAGTGAACAAAATGCAATGGAAGTACACCGACGACAACTACAAGACGAAGAAGAAGACAAAGAAAAAGGAAAAGTTAAAGAGACTCCTAATCTTACTTTCATGAGATGTTCTTCTACAATTGAAACACTATCAAATGAACGGAAATCCTCTACATCATCAAGTGATCTATTATATAATTCTCAAGAGAATAAAACAAATTTATTGAAGGCGTCTAATTCAACAAATCATATAAATCATATAGCAGCAGATGAACAATTACGTCATCATCATCAAAACAAGAATACAGATCAATTGGTGAATTTAACTAGATCCACATATCAATCCAGTGTTCACAATGATCATCATGATGATCATGATAATGATGACGAGGATGGGAAAACACGGATGCGGCGAGATCGTGCTAGTATTGTAGCGAATATGTTAGCCTCTGGACGATTGGATAGAAAAAGTCGTGCAGCTGAAATATTGATTACAATGTTATCTAAAAAACAATTAAATTCTACTGAAAATAATAATAGTAATAATAATAATGAACAATAAAATTACAATGAATTATACTAAGTAAGTTTGTATATTGACTATTGATAATTGTTTGTTCAGGGTTGATTATTAATATCACTTCAACCCCCGCAGGGTGAAGTAATTCATCAGTTATCCTGAGTGGTATTCATGTGTGATAGATTCGATAATGATACGCATCTGAAGTTGTTTAATTGAATTTTAGATTTTCCCGTCGATTGATTGGACCGAAGTGCTCGGTCTCACGTTGACATGTCGGCTTCTTGTGCATATGCTTCGACGATGTTTGGGCATGTATTTAGAAGTTAATTGGTGGATAGTGACTTGCAGTGGAATCCTTGATGCGCATTCCATCTTATTTGAGACTCGTCATCTGCATTTACCTGCATTCCCCAGTGAGTGATTATGTTCCCACCGAGGCTCGAACCCAGTACACATAGTTTCAAACGCCAAAGCGTTATCCAGTAGACCACTTAGGCCACGAAAGCCACCTCTTGTGCAATGGGTCATATTAATTATTTAATTGGGAACATCATTAATCGCAGGTACATCTAGCCGATGAGTCCAAAATAGGACGAAATGCGCATCTTTGATTCCATTGCTAGTCACCATCCACCAATATCTGAAGTTGGTTGATTGAAGGCAATCGAGAGGAAACTTCCTAACCTAGGTTTGGTGCTTGTTTGCACTCCTTGCCAATCTTGAAAAAACGTTACCATTGAGGGAGTGATTCGAGCTCAAGATTCATATCCTATCGGACAGTCACGTATCAAATCGTTGGTAACGGTATTGACTGAATTTCCTCAGTAAATTTTTCAGTGTAGTGAACTGAGATCAACTGGAAAGCCATTACAATTCAGGGAATATTGAACGGCTGTTTCATCCTAGTTTGGACAAAGTTTTAGCAGCAGTAGGCAGTGACGATGTCGTCAATGGGGGTTGAACCGAGGACTTTCGCCTCATGGGAATTCACATAGGGGAATAAATGTATGAAGAAATATCACTGTTAGTCGGTTGTAGGAAATCGACAGGAAGCCTTGAACCTAGATTTTGTGCCTCTTGGTACTTGTCAACAAGGCATACTGCAATCTTGAAGGAACTTGTCTTCCTCCCGAGATTCGAACCCAGGTCACTCAGTAATGCCGTCAGAGATATTCGGACTTACTGTTGATCTCCTTCAAGATTGCAGATACGCCTTAATGACGTGTGCCAGCCAACAACCACGTGACCAATGTCCGGCGGAAGCTTCTTACCGATTGCCTCCAACCATTTAACAACAACAACAACAATAACAACTCAGAGTACACCCTGATGACGAGCCATTTAGCATGATGGCCACACCACAGCTTGACTGATAGAATTCAGTCTGCACGAGGCTCATGACATTAGTCACTACCCCAACCATGTGGTCCGATCAAAGCAGAGTGCAATTGGTAACGATGATTACCGTCAACTTTATGGAAATATACAAATGATCTTTGATTAAGATCACTCATTTTTTTAAATTAAACACTTATATATCTCCTTCTTTCTGTATCTCACTCTTTCCATTTATAACTTTCTGTTTATACAGTTGACCAATAAAATCCATCATCAAGTTCAAATAATACTGAATAATACTAGAAAAAGATGAAATCTAACTTACTTTCTTCACCGCCAACATCTACAGTATATTCACTGTAAACTATAAGAGCGCACTGGGAATCGAACAATGGGTACGTACGTACATACGCACACCCTACTACTACTATTACTAGTCAACAACTAAAGTGTCCATGATATACAATAATGCTAGAAATAAAAATATATATGCTAGACACATTATCCTGATGACATATTATTATTATTATTAAAAACATTATTTAAAGAGGCCAAACTAGCATACCCCACACACATAAACACATACAAACATCCACAGACGCCCAGAATATTATACATATGTACCCGTAAAACCAAAACATTGGCAATGTAATATAGAAAAAACAGAGCAAGGAAATGACATCATTGAAAAAAAACGCACACTTAAATTGTATAAAATTATTTTACTTTTCTTTCTTCTTTTTAAATTCTGTATTTTTGTTTGTTTCTGTGAAACGAAACGAAACAAAAAAACGATTTTATTTTCACTTTAACAATAACAACGAGGTCAGTAACAAAAACAGCACCAACAAGAATAGAGGAAGAACAATAGAGGATCATATCCCATAATAACTACCATACACCAACAACACATAAAACTTCTGTTTCCTTTAATACAATCACTCACTCACTCACTCTTCAATGATTTTATACATCATTGAAAATTTTCTTTATTGTATTTAATATTAATATTATTATTATTAATCTCATTACTACTGGGATTATTATCACTATTATTATTACTATTACTACCATTATTTGAATTTGTTCACAGTGTATATTGTAAAATAAAATAATAATAATAATAATTTTACAAAAAAAAATTGAATTAAACTATTTTGAATTGAATCACTGTCGTTGTTCCCTTTGTGTTTCGAGTGAAATATCGACGGCTTCAACAGTACGTCTTCATCATTCCATCAAGCTAACTCCATAATTGCTAATAAGCTTTTATCCTTCCCCCCCCCTCTTTACACAATCTCCTCTATGTCAACCTTGGAGGTGAGCTCAATGCCAACTCGTCGCTCACTTTGCATTCGACTTTCATTCTAAGGCATGGCGGGTGATGTCACTGCATAATGTCTTCTCAGTGTATTTCCAATCCATGCGATTTTCGTTTGAATATTTGTCAGGCTATGATCACTAGCGAATGACCTTATTCAGGCAGTAACCTGGGGTTCTAGTGGGAAGTCGTGACCAACAGGGTGCAGCAAGCTGAAGGTGAGGCAGATACTTATCGAAAAAAACATTGCAAAGTGGTCACGCTATGTCATGAATTAATTGGCGGAAGTTAGAATTCATTGACTGATGGGTTGGATCCCAGTGGCTTAATGGTCTACGAGGTCACCTTGTAATCAGAAGGTCCTGAGTTCAAAATCCGGTGGGTGCGTACTGATGAAGAGTCCCAAACGAGGACAAAACAGCTGTCCAGTACTCCTTGTTGGTTTACCAATGGTCCTCTGACTGATGTCAACTCATGATGCAATCATCTAACCATCCAGTACTTGACAACAAGCTTTTGTTGCTTCGTTTTCGGAGTTGTGTGTGGCTGTTGTTTCATGTTCGTGGTCTGCATACCGAATCTTTGAAGCAGTCAACTGACACTACTCTTCAAGATACGGATGTTGTTCATTATGCTGATTAGTGCAGTAAACTTCCACAGTGAATTCAGATTAATGAAGGTTTGTCCTGTTTTTTTACGACTCCGGTTTTGATATCTTGATTTGCTCCACCTATATAGTTGAAACGATGCAGCCAAGGTAAGCGTAAGAGACTACTTCTATTGAACTTCTCCAGCTGATAGTATTTAGTGCTTCCTGTTGTTAATTAGGTATCTTCATCGCTTCTATCTTCTTCTTTATGTTCACTTGGAGTCCTGTGTATTGTCTGTAGATCTTGCTGTGACATTAGACAAATAATCCACGAGGTTCATATCTTTCCCAGAGTTTTGTTGTAGGTCTAAATTACGCATGCCTTCTCGCTCCCTACGGTCTGTTACATGAACCAGTTCACCACAGTCAAAAATATCATCGGTGACAGTTGCTGCTTTTATTTTGCATGCGGAGGTTCAAGCTTTATAGGTTCAGTACTGGTGGATTTTTAAGGGTTTGAGTAGCTAGTCTCATACCCACAGACCTTCCATCTTTGTTCTAGCTTAGTATCGGCTAAGCGACGTTTAGGAGTGCATCTGCCCGGAATAGAATCTGGAACCACCCTACGCGGGTTTCAAACATTCTACCATTGAACTACCAATTCACTTATAAACAGATAAATGTTTTAGAATGGCTGTGTTTAGCCTTCTCGATAACTTTGAAAGAATGAATCACACAGGGCTGAAAATAACATGACTCAAGAAAGTGTTCACAGAGAGAAGAATTCATTACCCTGCATTCGTATCATTTATTAATCAAGCCCATATATTCAGCCATGCATACCCAGAAGACTTGCTTACAACCTCCAATATATTCAGAGTAGATCCAAAGACAGGGTGAACATCAGCGTTAGCTTTGTTTCTTTCCTTCACGTACTTGTCGAATAAAATACTTCGATACGAGAATATCAGGTATAAGCCAATGGCTAAGAAAAAGTGCATTTGATATACCTGGATAGATTATTATTCCCTCGGGTTCCTAGTGGAACACAGGGCTTCAACTGCACGCCTCCACTTGCTTCTGTCTTCTGCTGTACTTTTCACTTACATCCATGTTAGTCCATACTGTTTCAGCTCCTCTTCACACGATCTCCTCCATGTCACCCTTGGACGTCCCACTCGCCGCTTCTCTTCCGGGTTCCACTCGAGCGTTGGCCTGACGCGCGATGTCACCCAACGGCCTTTTCAGCGAGTGTCCAATCCATCTCCACTTTCTTCTGCTCATTTGTTGGGCGATTGGTTCTTGTTTTGTTTGTTCCCATGGTTTCTTGTTGGTGATTCTTTCCGGCGGCCATCTGATCTTCAGCAGTATAGAGCGAAGACAGTTGTTGATAAAGGTCTGCAACAGGCTGTTGGAAATATTCTTTGTGACCCGCCAAGTTTCTGATCAATCCGTATAGAAGAACTGAGTGACTTGACGCTTGTATTGAAAATCCGAATTTTGTTGTTGAGTGTTGCTCAGTGACGAAGATTTTCAGATTGGTTTCAGGTTGATGAATGTGTTTCTCGCCTTCCCGATTCTCGATTTGACATCTTCGTCCGTTCCTCCTGTAGTTGAGACAATGCTCCCTAGATAAATGAATGAAGTAACCTTTTTCAAATCCCTCCCGTTGATGGTGATTGGCCCTGGATGTTGCTGCTGTTGTTGTTGGTTGGTTGGTTATTTTCATAACCTCCGTCTTGTCTATGTTCACCTGGAGTCCTGTCTTTGCTGCCATCCTCTTCAACCAGTTTGTCGGTTTTCGCTTGTAAGTCTTCGATTTTGTGTGACATCAAACATAAATCATCCGCGAAATTACCTGGATGGATGAGTTTTAATTACTCGAGAATTGGTGTTGCCTTTGTATACAAAACTCATAATTACTGTCTTCTTTGGTACTATGATTTATTTAGCTGAGAGCGATTCTATCCTTTTAATAGACTCTCTAGAATATCCATTTTCTAATAGCGTTGTTAATACGAAGATTTTCAAGTTTCTTGCCAACTAGATTCTCAAAACTTGAAAAAGTAGACTTATGTAACTGTTCAGGTAAGTATACTGCCCTGGAGAAGTTGTTTTCCTGATTGATAGATCGACCTTTGGTAAATGAGCCATCCATCATCTCTCTCTATCTCCTATTTAACATAACATCTAACAGGTGAAATGTTGCATGAATTAACATTGGATAAGTAAATAACTCCAACGCGACTGACAACCGATAGATACTTCGAAGTAGGATAGTCGGACTTCAATAACACAATGACCCGACGGAGTTATACTGGCTGGAACTAATATTCTAACGGGTCTTAACATGCCAGAAAGGTTGGAGGGATAATGAATAGGTTAAAAGCTGCCATCATTTTAGTGTAAGTGGTTTACACTATGCTAGGGTGTTTCGATGGGTAAATTCGTACTGCCGGCGAATAAGAATGTAACAGCCGTAAGGTGTTCCCCTCAGACGAATGACCAATAAACCAGCTATGCGATCATTTCTCAACTCGGAGTAGAAAAAGTCAACCTGAAAAATTGCACACCCCACCATATCTTGCCATGTTGGTCATCCGTAGCCAGCGCTAAGATCTTAATACAGACACAACTCCAAAAACCAACTAAAAAAGGCTGTGAGTGTGTTACTGGTCTTAAGCAAATTTCTTCTCGAGCTCTACACCATCACTCATCCATTATTGGTGCTCCTTCCGTTTCAAGTATTTCAAGAGGAAGTCAACTTCCACAATGGACGCAGCGGGGATGTAATAACCGCTCACCCACCCCCTCACATAGCCATAAGCACACTTCAACCTGTCAAATAACTCTCATTCGCATCCCATTTTACAATTCTTCAAAGAGAAATATACTAAAAGATAGGAATCGTATACCTGGCCTATCTTAGCACCAAATGCGTAATTTTGTTTCGTCTTTTTCTTGTTTGTTTGTTTCTTAATTGTATAATATTTTCTTCCCCCACCCCTTATTACCACTGTTGTTAACTTGACTTTTGTTTAATTTTAACTGAGCTCTACTCAACCCCATCAGTTAGATTACGTTGTTCAACTTGCTTATTTAATCTTACTTTAGTTTGTAACCCATTAACGAAGTTTGTTATCTAAAACTTACAATTCTAATAGTTTTATAAAAAAAAAATAATTGAGCAAAGAATATCCCCCTTTCGATAATTTCCTCTTCTGGCTCTATAAATATATGTATATGTTTATATACATAGAATATTCTAGAATAGTAGTCAATAACAATATTAGTGTTTTTTCTTAAATAATATCGATTCGTTAAGTAAGATCAATGGAATTACAGTTCATGAAAGATGTTTAAATTTTAATAATAATTTCTATGAAAATTGAGGATCATTCAAACCTAGATGGCCAAGGTAAGGATAATGCCTGAACTCGCTTCTTGTAGACACAATAATTAGGCTTCTTAATGTGGATCCCAACGGCCAGCCTCAGCAATATTCAGTAAACGAACTCTTAAGGTGAAGTTAAGATTTGTTCGTAGGCAGTAGATGACTTTGAAAGCTGCCTCGTCGACATCAATCTTGTGTTCTGTATCCACAAGATGGGATAGAATAGCGCTATGTGAATAGATTTTGTTTACCCTTCACCTAACCACTATGCAGGGTGATGTTCGGAAATCCCACGAGAAACACGCCTAATTGTATGGTCTATGCAACTAACTGGCTCACTCCACAGAAGCAGTTGCATTGGTAGATACACATGGAAGAGGTGAAATTAGACAGTTTCTAGGGGTGGTTTTGAAGACACAGAGTAATTCAACAGCAGCAAATTTTTATTTTAGTTTCTACCCAATTAACACTTTCTACATTACGTAATTTACTAAATCAAATTCACAACTTTAATGACAATTAACTACAGCTTGACAATGATATCACCCAAAAAGAGGAAGGAGTGTAACTTTCCACTGATGAACATCTTTGCTTTTATATTATTTACAGTATTAATCAATATTATACACAAGTGACACTTCTAAATTATAAACAAAATTATTGTGATTTTTTTTAAAAAAAGAACACAACCATAAAGTTTTTTTCAAGTATAAACAAGTCGTTTGATTTGTGGTGCTATATCCTCTGGCCACCAGGCTGGTATATAGGGTATAATTTGTAATTTTATTTCATCAGTATTCCCTGTAGATGACGACGACAACGACGATGACAGTGGTGTAACTATAAGTTTACATTGTTGTTGTTGTTCACCTGCTTCAGTTAAACGTATCAATGCTATCCCACTAACTGGATAATGATTTTGATCAATATTCATGTATATATCATCATAATTATTATTAGTAGTATTGGTAGTAATAATATTCAATAGATTAACACCTCGAATCCATCCAACTGGTTTTAATTTCGACTGGATCAATTGATAATCTTCGTTCACTTGATATATTGGGGCATTATACAAATCTCTAATTCATCAATAATACAAAAAAGAAAAGAAAAAAAGAACATAGAAGAAGATAAGAATAAAATAGAAATAATTATCTTTATATAATATCTGTCTGTCTATTTTCAACATAGAACTTTGCACCGATGTACTACAACAGTTCAAGTCGCCACACTCCCTCCTTGTAGCACACAAAGCCAGAGAAGAAATGCATAATAGACACAGTAGACAGAGATATGCGGCAAAAAGAATAGTGGTATCGAAGAGCAATATAGTTTCATTGGAAATTATTATAAGTCACAAGGAGTAGATGCACCTGCCCTAGCCATTGAGAGCGATTTTGAGCCATATTACCGATTGTCTCGAGTCTCCAGGAAGTCTACACCTTCCTACGTGGCTGGCTTAAACTAACTGTTGTAGATTTCATTGACTGATGAGGCCATGTTTTGGTTTGACCGCCGCTAGCTCTTTTCCAGCCTGACCCTATATCAGCTAACATTGCCCGTCGAGGAAGGCAATGATTAGGCATGCATGCGTAACACATGTCTTAACCATCTCAGTCGAAGTAACTTCCCAGCCTCGTCTAGTTGTTTTCCCTCCTTACTTAGCACTCGGTGCCTAACCTTAGTATTGCTTACCCTTATTATTCCAATTCAAACAGGAGATACAACGCAGGCACGTACGATCAAAGACAGCTAAACGGCTTTTTCATATCTTCAACTTTCAACGGCCATGTATCACTCCCAGCCATAAAGGAGGACGGAGCGGACTGCTGAGCAGTACACACGACCTTTACATCAATTATTCCCATTATCAATTAATATTAGAACAGGACATTACATTATAAGCGAACAGTGGCATAACGATTAGAACGCTCACTGACCATGCACATGGTCCGGGGTTCAATCCGCGGCCAATGCACACCTGATATCAATGGTCGGCCTGTTAAATTTGGGCTACCGATATTACATGCTGAAAAGTCCATACTTGTACTAAAATACTGTGTGAAACCAAGCTATGGTAATAAAAATTTAAAAAAAACAGTATTGTTTACGCTCGATAGCACCATCACGTGAGTAATTCCGAAGTCTGGCGGTGTGTATTTCTTTTTTTTCTGGACACAATGAAGACCAGCATCCATTGAGTGTCGTCATCTGGACATGTGCTGGAAAAATGCCATCCCAGAGGTTTCTGTTCGCTAGCCAGCCCTGGGACGACGGGATGGAAAAAGTTAGTGGAGGTGGGCAGCCCATGTTGTGGCATCATCGGGATGATGGATATTTGTCGTAGGTTAGTATTGGTTAGTGCATGACAACTTCCTGGTTGGAGTCTGATGACAGATAACTCAAAACGTTATCGGATATCGCCAAGAATTGCAATCACTAATGGTGAACGTGCTGTAATTTCCTTCTTTCCTTTTCGATGATAATTGACAAATGCTGTTTGACCTTGTTGAATATGATTGTTTTCCTTCTAGATGAAGTGTACTTTATCCCTTCTCTGTCTACTTTTTTACTTTTAATCTATGTTGTTTCATTATTGTGATTATTATTTTGTGACGCATCTTTTTGTTGCCATATTATACTAAGTCTTTTTGTGTTTAAATAATAAAGAAATAATTGTTTTTAAATTACATCTCCTTCAGGCTTTTTAATCCAGTTTACATAGCTTTACATATAAAAATTTTTAACCAATGACGGTGATTTTGTGTGGATCAAATAATAATAATAATGTTTTATGTGTTTTGGACGTCAGTATTAAAGATGATTATCATGATAACAAAAATAATGAATAATAAGGTTTATGCAGGCGACGTTAAGAATAACGAAGGTAGTAATGTGGTGGTGGTGTGATACAGACAATGTGTTCCAACGGAATAGTATTCTCACAGTAGAAATCCCAGGCCGATAACTGCTACCTTGACATGGTGGTCGGGCTTGCATATCGCAATGACCCAACAAGCTACACTGGCTGGAACTTATGTTCCTGTAGGTCCTACCATGCCAGAAAGGTTGTTTGGATAGCGGTTAGACAAAAAGCAGTTACCCAACCCAATCCTATGACTCAAAATAAATCACAAAATATCATGCCGGATCGGTCGGGGCCCGGATTAACAACAACCGCGCTTCCGGCTGCCGTGTCACAGGGCAGAAGTGATAAATATGCTACTGAGACACACCAAATGAAAAAGAACAAACAAAAACAGGCCACGTGTGACCGGCCTCAAGCAGTTGTCCCCTGGGCTCTGCGGTCACGCAACACTAACCTTTTCTCTATTTCAGGTACGCGAAGACTCAACCAACTTCCACGATGTGGGCAGCCGGGAAGTAACAACCGCCTACACACTTCAAAAAGCACACGAAGCCTACCGACCAACAGTAGAAATCATTGTATATGTTGGTGCTAACTTCGTCTGAATACTGTTCCCACAATACAATAGTGCATTGCAATGTGTTCCA